GTGCAAAGGGAAGGTGGCACAGAGGTCACAGGGTTGAACTCTTGGAATGTTGGGAGTGGTTTTTTCCCTAATTTTCATTAATTATTTGGGAGCTGGCTGTGAGGATGAGCTTAACCCACTGTCTGGGCATTCCAGGACCAACCATGGAACTGCAGTGAGAGCAGCAATGGATTTGAGCTGAAAGAGGGAAGATTTAGGGTGGGTGTAGAGAAGGAATTCTGGAATTCTTCCCTGGGAGGGTGGGCAGGGGCTGGGATGGGATTCCCAGAGGAGCTGTGGCTGCTCTGGATCCCTGCAAGTGTCCCTGGAAGGGGCAGGGCTTGGAGCAACCTGGGCTGGTGGAAGCTCCTTCCATCCCAAGCCATTCCACAACTCTGATTTCTTTTTTTTTCTTTTTTTTTTTGGTGAGATAAGGACTTATCTCCTCGTTTTTCAGATAGGAGCAGGACCTGGGTGAGTCTCTCCACCCTTCTCAATGGCCTGGAGGTCCAGAATTCCAGGTCAGGTTGCTCTGAGGGCTGTACCTGCTGTTGGAAAGCCCTGCCTGGCTGCAGGAGCATCCTCTTCCTCCTGGCCGAGAGAATGGAGCATGGATAAAGAGAAAATTGAGATTTTTAATTAAACTGGGGTGGTTGAAACCCTGGCAGAGCCAAGGAGGAGCCGGCTCCTGGTCGTGCCCAGCTCCTTGTGGGAGTGGAGCTGTGCAAAGCCAAGGAGGGAACTTACATAAAAGTTCTTGGCTGAAGCCTCAGATTGGATCTTGCATAACTTTGCTCGCTGGGGCTACCAGGAAAAGGCAAAGCCAGGAGCTTCCTGTGCATCTCTGGGTGGGCACTGCTGTCCTGGGGTCACATCCCATCCTTGCTGAGCTCTCCAACCCCACCTCTGGGGCTTCTCACTCCCTTGCTGTGGCTCCAGAGGTGTTGGCCATGCTTGAGGGCTGGGGAATGTGGAGGTGAATGGTTTCTGTTTCTCTCTTCTCTTCCTTGTAAGTCATTTGCCCTCCAAGTGCTCCCTGGCTCCCTTTGGAGTCAGATGCCAGAACCACCACAAGGTTTGTAGCACTTAAAAATCATTTTCCAGCCTCTCAGTGTCCCAAAAAATCCCTCATTCCACTTCCTGGACTTGCATTTCCACCTTTTTTCCTTCCTTTTGCCCTCCCTCATCCCAGCTGATCCTGTTGGTGCCAGCCCCACATCTTCCCTCATTTCCTCCCACAGCACTGCCAGCCCTACAGTGACCCAGAGGGGAAAAATCCTGCAGAATTATTTCTAATTATTTATTCATCCATCTCCAGAGGTTTTTTTTTTTTTTTCCTTTTGGAGCAGAGCTGAGCAGTGGATGCAGAAAAAGCCCTGCTCCAGCCTGTGTGGGTTGAAGCAGGTCTGGTTTAATTGTCAGCTTGGTGGGGAATGCTCTGCAGAGTTCCAGGCACGTGGGACACAGAGCACAACTTCCAAAGGGATCCATGAAAGTGGGGCCACCTCGTTGCAGGCACCAGCTCCCCTTTCATTAGAGCCACTCCTGCAGTTCCTGTGATTTGAAAATTGATGTTCAGCTGTAGAGAATCTCTGGTGCAGTTTCCTCTTGGGGGTTTTCAGGGTAAATTGCTGCTGGATTTGCATTTAAAAGGGAGCCGTGGCACTGCTCTTCTCCCTGTGTTATTTGGCCAGCTCTATGCTGGAAAATTCAAAATTCAATATTTTAGTGGAGCACTGAGGATCCTTCAGCTTGGAAGAGAGCTCCAGCATCACCAGGTCCAAGCTGTGCCCAGTCCCCACCCTGTCCCCAGCCCAGAGCTCTGAGTGCCACCTCCAGGTGTTCTTGGACACCCCCAGGGATGGGGACTCCAAACCTCCCTGGGCAATCCCTTCCTGTATTTAACAGCCCTTTTTTAACAGCCCTTTCCAGGAAGGAATTCCTGCTGATGTCACCTGGCATGGCCTGAGACTGTTCCCTCTGCTCCTGTCCCTGTTCCCTGGGACAAGATCCCAAATCCCCCCGGCTGTGCCCTCCTGGCAGGAGCTGTGCAGAGCCACAAGGGCCCCCCTGAGCCTCCTTTGCTCCAGGCTCAGCCCCTTCCCAGCTCCCTCAGCCTCTCCTGGGGCTCCAGACCCTGCCCAGCTCCCTCATCCTCCTTTTCTCCTGGCAGGAGCTGTGCAGAGCCACAAGGGCCCCCTGAGCCTCCTTTGCTCCAGGCTGAGCCCCTGCCCAGCTCCCTCAGCCTCTCCTGGTGCCCCAAACCCTTCCCAGCTCTGTTCCCTTCCCTGATTCACTCCCAGAACTGGGCCCAGCCCTCAAGGTGTGGCCTCACCAGTCCTTGGTGGCTGCTGGGTGAGGACAGGGCTTTGATTTGCATCCCAGGTATTGTCCTGGGTGTGAGAAATGCTCCTCACTTCTCATAGTTTGGGAAGGTTTATTAAACCTTATCAAAAATACAACAGAAAACTGAATAAAGAAAAAAGGTTGTGGCATTTTCCCTGCCATGTGCTCAGCCCCTCACAATGGAGGTTTTCCCTTTTTAACCCTTTAACCCCTCCCAAAGTTCTGTCCATTAAGTAAAAAAAATAGAGTTTTCAGTAAAAATCTGAATTCCTCATCACCCTTCTTCCAGGCTGGGCTAATTTGAAAAAGATGGGAGCACGCATGACCCTGGTGTAATTAATGGCTGTAGAATATCTTGAATTAAAATTAATTCCAGGAAGGAGGGCCTGGATGTTTGGGAAGAACTGGGAATAAAACCCCAAGTGTGTGGCCTGGCTGCCAGCAGCTCCTGCAATCCATGGAGAGATGGGAATCACCCCAGGGATCCTTTCAAATCCTCCCTAAATCAGTAAAAGCAGGAATTCCTCACCCTCTGGGGTCAGTTCTTTCAGCATCCCCTGGCCATGGCAGGACCAGAATGATCAGAATGATTCAGCTGGGATGAGGAGGAGATGCTGGGATGGGCTTGGGGATGATCTCAGCAAAGGAGAAGAATTACACAGGTAGAGGGAGGGGACACAATCTGGGCTAGAAAAACAAAACTATTACAAAGTATAAAAACACTGCAGCACTGGGGTGCTGGGCCTCAGCTCAGCCTGCAGAGCCAATCCTGGCCTGCCTGGGGTGACTATAATAAGTGAATTTATGGGGTGGATACTGGGGCATGGACAGTTAGGACAGTGTGTGGGGAAGCACTTGGGGGTGACCCCTGGCTGATCACTCGAGGTCCTGGAGTGGAAGTTCTGGGTGGAGGGGATGGGATGGTGAGTGAGTGACAGAGAGCCAGGGTGGGGATTTGGGGATGATATCAGCAAAGGACAGGGATTACACAGGTAGAGGGAGTGGGTACAATCTGGGATAGAAATCAAAACTATTACAAAGTATAAAATATTGCAGCACTGGGGTGCTGGGCCTCAGCTTAGCCTGCAGAGCCCACCTGGCCTGCCTGGGGTGACAAACCAATAAGTGAATTTAAGGGATGGATACTGGGGCAGGGACATTTAGGACATTAGTTCTGGATGGAGGGGATGGGATGGTGAGTGACTGACAGAGAGCCAGGGTGGGGATTTGGGGATGATCTCAGCAAAGGAGAGGGATTACACAGGTAGAGGGAGTGGGTACAATCTGGGGTAAAGCATTTGGGAAAAATACTGGGATACAAAACCAAAACTATTACAAAGTACAAAAACACTACAACACTGGGGTGCTGGGCACGGCCTCAGCTCACCCTGCAGAGCCAATCCTGGCCTACCTGGGGTGACAAACTAATAAGTGAATTTATGGGATGGATACTGGGGCATGGACATTTAGGACAGCGTGTGGGGAAGCACTTGGGGGTGACCCCTGGCTGATCACTCAAGGTCCTGGACTGAAAGTTCCAGATGGAGGGGATGGGATGGTGAGTGAGTGACAGAGAGCCAGGGTGGGGATTTGGGGATGATCTCAGCAAAGGAGAAGAATTACACAGGTAGAGGGAGGGGACACAATCTGGGCTAGAAAAACAAAACTATTACAAAGTACAAAAACACTGCACAACACTGGGGTGCTGGGCCTCAGCTCAGCCTGCAGAGCCAATCCTGGCCTGCCTGGGGTGACTATAATAAGTGAATTTATGGGGTGGATACTGGGGCATGGACATTTAGGACAGCGTGTGGGGAAACACTTGGGGGGTGACCCCTGGCTGATCACTCAAGGTCCTGGAGTGAAAGTTCTGGGTGGAGGGGATGGGATGGTGAGTGAGTGACAGAGAGCCAGGGTGGGGATTTGGGGATGATTTTAGTGCAGGAGAGGGATTACACAGGTAGAGGGAGTGGGTACAATCTGGGCTAGAAATCAAAACTATTACAAAGTATAAAAACACTGCAGCACTGGGGTGCTGGGCCTCAGCTCAGCCTGCAGAGCCAATCCTGGCCTGCCTGGGGTGACTATAATAAGTGAATTTAAGGGATGGGTACTGGGGCATGGACATTTAGGACATTAGTTCTGGATGGAGGGGATGGGATGGTGAGTGACTGACAGAGAGCCAGGGTGGGGATTTGGGGATGATTTTAGTGCAGGGGAGGGATTACACAGGTAGAGGGAGTGGACACAATCTGGGGTAAAGCATTTGGGACAAATACTGGGATACAAAACCAAAACTATTACAAAGTATAAAAACACTACAACACTGGGGTGCTGGGCCTCAGCTCAGCCTGCAGAGCCCACCTGGCCTGCCTGGGGTGACTATAATAAGTAAATTTATGGGGTGGATACTGGGGCATGGACATTTAGGACAGCGTGTGGGGGTTGACCCCTGGCTGATCACTCAATGTGTATCAACCCTGGCTAATCTCAGCAAAGGAGAGGGATTATTTGGGGAAAACAAGGGGATACAAAGACAAAACCATTCTAAACCATAAAACCACCGCTACAACAACAAACCTCTGATGGTTGTGGATTAATTCTCCTCAGAGAAGCAAAGCCTGTCATTGCCTCTCCCTGAGAAGCTGACTCCTTGCCTTGCCTTGCCTTTGCAGCTGTCCCATTCCCTCCCACGCAGAGGCTCACTCTGAAGGAGGTGTTTGAGGATGGCAAACCGAGGCTCGACGTCCTCAAGAGCCACTTGGTGAAGGAGGGGAGGCTGGAGGAGGACGCGGCGCTGAAAATCATCAACGACGGCGCCGCCATCCTGAGGCACGAGAAAACCATGATCGAGGTGGAGGCTCCAATCACAGGTCAGAGCTCCTGGGTGTGCAAAGTGCAGATTGGATGGCTCTACACAGATAAACCTGTTATCTTTGAGCTATTGGGGCAGAGAAGGGCAAATTCTGCTTTTGGGGGGTGAAGATTTTTGAGGTGTTGGGGCAGAGAAGGGCAAATTCTGCTTTTTGGGGGTGAAGCTTTATGAGGTATTTGGGCAGAGAAGGGCAAATTCTGCTTTTTGAGGGTGAAGTTTTTCAAGGTATTGGGGTGAAGAGGAACAAATTTTGCTTTTTGAGGGTGAAGATTTTCAAGGTATTGGGGTGAAGAGGAACAAATTCTGCTTTTTGAGGGTGAAGATTTTTGAGGTATTGGGGCAGAGAAGGGCAAATTCTGCTTTTGGGGGTGAAGATTTTTGAGGTATTGGGGTGAAGAGGAACAAATTCTGCTTTTTGGGGATGAAGATTTTCAAGGTATTGGGGTGAAGAGGAACAAATTCTGCTTTTTGAGGGTGAAGATTTTTGAGGTATTGGGGTGAAGAGGAACAAATATTGCTTTTTGGGGGTGAAGATTTTTGAGGTATTGGGGCAGAGAAGGGCAAATTCTGCTTTTTGAGGGTGAAGTGGAACAAATTCTGCTTTTTGAGGGTGAAGATTTTTGAGGTATTGGGGTGAAGAGGAACAAATTCTGCTTTTTGGGGGTGAAGATTTTCAAGGTATTGGGGTGAAGAGGAACAAATTCTGCTTTTTGGGGGTGAAGATTTTTGAGGTATTGGGGTGAAGAGGAACAAATTCTGCTTTTTGGGGGTGAAGATTTTCAAGGTATTGGGGTGAAGATGAACAAATTCTGCTTTTTGGGGGTGAAGCTTTTTGAGGTATTGGGGCAGAGAAGGGCAAATTCTGCTTTTTGAGGGTGAAGAGGAACAAATTCTGCTTTTTGGGGGTGAAGCTTTATGAGGCATTGGGGTGAAGAAGAACAAATTCTGCTTTTTGGGGGTGAAGATTTTTGAGGTATTGGAGTGGAGAGGAGCAAATTCTGCTTTTTGGGGGTGAAGCTTTATGAGGTATTGGGGCAGAGAAGGGCAAATTCTGCTCTTTGGGGGTGAAGATTTTCGAGGTATTGGAGTGAAGAGGAACAAATTCTGCTTTTTGGGGGTGAAGATTTTCGAGGTATTGGAGTGAAGAGGAGCAAATTCTGCTTTTTGAGGGTGAAGATTTTCAAGGTATTGGGGTGAAGATGAACAAATTCTGCTTTTTGAGGGTGAAGAGGAACAAATTCTGCTTTTTGGGGGTGAAGCTTTATGAGGTATTGGGGCAGAGAAGGGCAAATTCTGCTTTTTGAGGGTGAAGCTTTTTGAGGTATTGGGGCAGAGTCCCAGTATCCAACCTCTTGGTCTCTTCCACCTGGCAGAAGCAGAGGACACAGTCTCAAGCTACATCAGGGAAGGTATAGGTTGGATATTAGGAAAAAAAAAAATTTACCCAAAGAATAATAAAGCACTGGAATGCTCTTCCCAGGGAGTGGTGGAATCACCATCTCTGGGTGTGTTTAAAAAAAGCCTGGACATGGCATGGTGGAACAATGGCAGAAGATGAAGGGGCTGACTCTTAGCAGGGTTAATCCCAGGTTTATCTCAGGAGCTTTATTTTATTTCAGGAGTTTATTTTATTTATGTGTTATGTTGTATTGATTAGTAGTGCTGTATTAACATTTTAATAGGATGGTAAATGTAGTTTTGTGGTTAAAATGGAACTTTTGTGGTTAAAATAGAAACTGTGGATGTGGGATATTTTTTAAAGAGGTACTCATACCAAGATAGCAGCCACAGAACACCTGAATCTTTCAGAGAAAGAGAATTCATTGCTCCATTATCAAAAGAAATGAACTTCTTCCCACCTTGCTCACGTTAGGATTCAGAGGAAGAAGCTGACACTGCCCAGACAGAATCCTGTGTTTGAATGGAATTTATGCATCATGGATGAGGTGTATGAATATGCAACAGGCTGTTGCTTTAAGGGTTGATCCTCTGTTAATGTGGGTCCTTTTTCAGGCTTATTTTGCCCAGAAAGAGGTACCTGGACTGTCCCTAACTCTTTGTTTTTATTCCTAATCTCAATTGTTCAAATTTTTATTACTCTAATTATATTACTGTTTTTATAACCAAGTGATTGGCGTTTTTCACATAGGAATGTGCTCCCTGTTGATGGAGTGACAAAACTGTCTTTTGACCTCTTAAAAAAGGAAATAAGCTCAGAATTTTCTCTCCTCAGTCAGGTGAAAAGACATCTGATAGGTTTGGGGGACTTCACCTCAAACTTAAGGATGGCCAATTAGGAGCCAAAAAGTCCCACCTGAGCAATTCACTAGAAAAATAAGAGAACAAAGAAAGGAATTGATTTTGTGAGGTGTTTACCAGGGGCAAGGACCTCTTGCACCTGGCTGGGTTTTTCTCTGTAAAGAGTTTTTCTTATTTTGCCTTTTATTAAAACCTCTTTATTTCCAACACTACCCCAGAAGCCATCCTGCTGATTTTATGCCTTCTGAGGCAGCTGAGCCATCCTGGCTGTGAAATAGATCTCCAAGAGCTTGTGAGACCTGGAGAGGAGACCCATATTCCACTAGAGCTCAGGGCTCAATTCCTGAATAACAACCTGGATAACCCCAGCAGGTTTTTTTGCCCTGTTCCTTCCACCCCCAAGGTTTTTTAACTCAGCTCTCACAAGGGAGGATTTTGCCAGTGCTCGCTCTGCTCCTCGCTGCTGCCGTGACCTTGCTTTTCTTAGCGTGGTAATTCTGTCCTTTCTTTTGTGCTGTTTTTGCTCTCCCAGTGTGTGGTGACATCCATGGGCAGTTCTTTGACCTGATGAAGCTGTTTGAAGTGGGAGGATCACCCAATAACACCCGCTACCTCTTCCTGGGGGACTACGTGGACAGAGGCTACTTCAGTATAGAGGTGACCATTGGGGGTGCTGGGGCTGAAGGAACCCAGAGTGTTGAACCTTGGTTAAAGTAGAGCTCAGTCAGTTAAAAATCAGTTCAAATTCACCTCAGAATCAGTAAAATGCAGCTCAGAATCAGTAAAATGCAGCTCAAAATCAGTTCAAATCCACCTCAGAATCAGCTCAAATGCAGCTCAGAATCAGAAAATTCACCTCAGAATCAGTAAAATTTATCTCAGAATCAGTAAAATGCAGCTCAGAATCAGTAAAATTCACCTCAGAATCAGAAAATTCACCTCAGAATCAGTAAAATTTATCTCAGAATCAGTAAAATGCAGCTCAAAATCAGTTCAAATCCACCTCAGAATCAATTAAATGCAGCTCGGAATCAGTAAAATACAAATTCTGTAAAATACACCTCAGAATCAGTTCAAATGCAGCTCAGAATCAGTAAAATGCAGCTCAGAATCAGTAAAATGCAGCTCAGAATCAATTAAGTGCAATTCAGAATCAGTTAAATACAGCTCCAAATCAGTAAAATTCAGCTCAAAATCAGTTCAAGTTTAGCTCAGAATCAATTAAATGCAGCTCAGAATCAGTAAAATACAAATTCTGTAAAATACACCTCAGAATCAGTTCAAATGCAGCTCAGAACCAATAAAATGCAGCTCAGAATCAGTAAAATACAGCTCAGAATCAGTAAAATGCAGCTCAGAATCAATTAAGTGCAATTCAGAATCAGTTAAATACAGCTCCAAATCAGTAAAATTCAGCTCAAAATCAGTTCAAGTTTAGCTCAGAATCAATTAAATGCAGCTCAGAATCAGTAAAATACAAATTCTGTAAAATACACCTCAGAATCAGTTCAAATTCGGCTCAGAATCAGTAAAATGCAGCTCAAAATCAGTTCAAATCTATCTCAGAATCAATTAAATGCAGCTCAGAATCAGTAAAATGCAGCTCAGAATCAATTAAGTGCAATTCAGAATCAGTTAAATACAGCTCCAAATCAGTAAAATTCAAATCAGAATCAGTTCAAATGCAGCTCAGTAGAATTCTGCTAAAATCAGTTAAAACCAGCTCAAAATCATTAAAATTCAGCTCAGAATCAATTAAATGCTGCTCAGAATCAGTAAAATGCAGGTCTAAATCAGTAAAATTCAGCACAATAAAACACAGCTCAGAATCAATTAAATACACCTCAGAATCAATTAAATACATCTCAGAATCAATTAAATACAGCTCAGAATCAGTAAAATATGGCTCAAAATCAGTAAAATTCAGCTTGGAATCAATTAAATGCAGCTTGGAATCAGTTCAAATGCAGCACAATAAAATACAGCTCAGAATCAATGAAATACAGCTCCAAATCAGTCACATTCAGCCCAGAATGAGATCAAATCCAGCTCAGAATCAGCCCAAACACCAACCCCAGATCTCTCATGCTGGATTTCCCCTCCAGTGGAGTTCTGCATGGGGTGAAGGCAATGCTGATAAGTCCCAGTGTGATTTTGGGCAGGGAAATGATGTCCCCATCTTTGGATCCTCAGGCAGGGACAGTGAAGTGGCAGTGATGGGGTTAAAGCCTGACCTCTGCCTTCTGGGTGCTTTTAATGTCACTTGGGGCTGTCACTCAGGGACATTTGATGGTGCTGGTGCAGGCCACAGGATCCTGTGGGTTCTGGAGGCTGGGATTGAAGGCACTTGAGGTGGTAGCTCATGTTTGGACTTGGGTATTTGTTATCTTTTATCAGTGAAATAGTCCCACAACTCTGAGTTTTGTAGCTTTTTATTAGTAAGGCACAAAATGGCTAACTATTCTTTTAAGACTGAACTATTTAATTGAGAAATGACACTTAGATTCTTTTCCTTTTGAACTTAATATCTGATCTTTGGAAGCTTGTAATGTGGACTTTTCTAATTACAAAATACCACCCAAACCCATGAAGAAGAAGGAAGAAGAAGGTAAAGAAGAACAACCTGTCTTTGCCCTAAAACCTCTGTCTTGCTTTATATTTATTTCTATATTCTAAAATTCTTAAGTTTTCTACTCTGTGATATCACACACTTCTAACTAACTACACATCCATAATCTCAGTGCTATCAATTAATTTTGGAAGTCTCTTAAGTCAAATTTTAAACTTTCAGCACAGAAAGTTTAAAATTCTCAGTATCCAGGGTTCCAACGGGATCCCAGCAAGCAGTGAGAAGCAAATGTTGGAAAAGCTGCAGAATTGAGGATGGAGCAGGAGGAGAAAGAGCCACGAGCCTGAGTCACTGCTTCCCTCTGAAAACCTTGGAATAGGGTCAGGAGAGAGGAGCAGGAGTCACCTGGGCTGTGGCAGGGTTTGCAGCTCCCTGGGATTCCATGCCCAAGAAATTGGGAATACAAAGGATGGAGTGGAGCCCCCAGGCTGCTGCTGGCTCAGTGCAGAGCTGGGATGGGACAGGAAGGGACAGCTCTTAGCAAATGCCACAAATCCCAAGGGATTGCAGCCAGCTGGATTCACAGAGCCAGGGCTGAGTGGAAGTGGAGCACTTCTCCCAGTTGGAAGCAATGCAAGGAAAAGCTTTTGGGGGAGCAGGGGCCTGAAATGTGGCAGAAATCAGCTGGAATAACAGAGGGAGTGATTTCTCTTGGAAAAAAGAGGCTGCAGGAACAGCTGAGCCTCTGGCTCTGCAGAGGAATCTTGGGAAGGAGCTGTCAGGGATGAGTGCAAGGGGTTCTTTGAAGGATTCTGCAGAGGATTTAGGGAGAGCAGGGCTGACAGCTTGAGCTCCAGCAGCCCCTGGCTCCCTTCCAGCCCCAGGCTCTGGAATCCTGACAGGGAGCCAAGGTGTGACGAGGAGCAGGGACAGAGGAGGCAGAGCTGGGGCTGCTGGGATCTCTGGGCTTTGGGGTGCTGCTGGCAGGAGGAGCCCCCAGGGAGGAAAGGGAAGGACACATCCCACTGTTCCTCTGGAGTGCTCAGCTGGGTTTGCAGTGGTCACCTGGAAAAGGGATTAAATTCCAGAACAGCAGCTCCTTCTGAGAGAAAAGGTGGATTTTTTTTATTTTTTATTTTTGAGTCTTCAAATGAGAGGTGTTGGGCCCTGTGTCTGTGTATGGATTGTGTGGATCCAGGGTGGAAAAGTCCTGCTCCCACTCTCTGCTCTTAGCCCAGGATTGATCTGACATGGAGCTTTTACTCTCAGATCTCCAGAAGTGCTGGGGATCAGCACCTTTATCTCTCCATGCTGGGATCATCACAAAATCATGGAATGGTTTGGCTTGGAAAGAACCTTAAATCCCATCCTGTTCCAGCCCTGGGCAGGGACACCTTCCACTATCCCAGGTTGCTCTAAGCCCTGGCCAACCTGGCCTTGGATGAGGAACTCTTCCCAATATCCCAACTAAATCCCCTTTTAGTTCAAATCCCCCTTGTCCTCTCTGCCTGTGATAATATGGAAGAATTCCAAGAGGATGTATGGCCTTGGAGAACTGAGGTGGTGGGACAGAAATCTTTTATTTGCTGCTGCTTTTTCCTCTCCTCTCTCCCTTTCCCCTGCCAGAGATTCCCCCTGGGAAACCCCTCTGATCCCACAGTTCAGGGTGGGCTTTGATGGGCACAGCAAACACACTCCAAACATCAGGATAAGGCAGAATCCAGAAGTTTTCATCCCCATATCCTTCTCCCTTCCACCTACTGTTTTTTTTGCTGGGAATTTCCCCAATGAGGGCAGGAATGATGAATCTGACTCCATGTTCTCAGAAGGCTGATTTATTACTTTATAATATTATATTAAAGAATACCAGATTATACTAAAGAATACAGAAAGGATACTTACTAAATGTTAAAAATATAATAATGAAAACTTGTGACTCTACAGAATTTTGACACAGCTTGGCCCTGATTGGCCAAAGAGTCAAAACAACTCCCAGCAGAATGCAATGGAAAAATCACCTGTGGGTAAACAATCCCCAAACACATCCCACAGGAGCAAAACACAGGAGAAGCAACTGAGATAAGAATTGTTTTCCTTCTCTCTGAGGCTTCTCAGCTTCCCAGGAGAAAAATCCTGGGTGAAGGGATTTTTGTAGAGAACGTGAATGCCACACACCCACTGTGCTGGAAGAGATTCCCACCTGAATGCACAAAATCTGCTTTCTGTAATGAAACAACAGCAGGTTTGGAGTATCCCAGATGGGCAAACATCCAGGTTTTCCCTGTGGTGTGACCTCTGGGAAGGTTTGGAGCAGGAGCAGCAGCCTCATGAGTCACCACACCAAGCTGGGCATCCATGGGGAGATGATCTGAGCAGCTGGGGCTGTCCTGGGCAGAGCCAGGCCTTGGGATCCCTGTGGATTCCTTCCAGCTCAGGATATTCCACAGTTCCATAACTGTGACCTTTTAACAGAATGAAACAGGAGGGGAGGGTTTAATTGCAGGAAACGATGCCAGACTGGGGGCCAAGGAGGTGTAAGGGCCAAATTTCCCTTCCAGATGCTCTCTGTGGCTCCAGGTGTTTGGTTGTCCAGGTACAAGGAGGAATTTGTGGCTCAGACAAAACCTTTGAAAGCCCCAGCCCCTCCCCAAGCCTCTCAGTTCATCAGCTCAGCTGGATATCAGCAACAAATCATTCAACAAATTCTTGCTGGGCCTCTGGCTTAGGGAAATTCTCATTTAAAAACATGAATTCCCAGTATAATGAGGCCACAGAGAGTGGATTGGTTGATGGTTTGGTGGTTTTTTTTTTTTATTTAAAGAAAAGAATTGTGAGGGGAGAGGGGAGGGAAGAAGCGTGTGAAAGCTGGAATGCTGCTGGAAGGGGACTCTGGGAAGGGTTTGCTGGCCACAGATCCCAGCTCCAGAGTGCAGGGCTCACAGGCAGCATGGAAATCAGGATGAACTCCCTGATTTCCCATGGAAATCCCCCCATTGGGAGCTGCTGATGAGGCAGGGCCCTGCTGAAGGATTCCCAGTGGGAAAAATGCTTCTTTCATTCAGCTTTTAGTGCCAAATCCCAGAACGGCACAAGAGAGGTCTGTGCTCGTGGTAGGGAAGGATCATCTCAGTCCACAAAGCTGGAATACAATGAACAGAATGATTTTGTTAAATTAGAAAGTGAATTGTTATGGCCAGGAACAGAATCCATGGAAAGAGGGAATTTATCAGGAAAAGTGGTGTGATAATGGCATGCACCTTTGCAGGCCAGTTCTTCCTATCCAGTTATGATGGGACACGTGATTGCTGTCTAATTATGGAATTGTATGTTAATCTTGATTTAATGCACTTTTTATCCAGAATAAAATTAAAGAGATCCAGAGTAACATAGAAGAGATCCAGAATAACATAAAAGAGATCCAGTCAGCCCTGTGAAGTGGGAGTGAAGGTGGATTTGTGGGCTGGATTTGGGAGTTTTGCCTCTGTTCCCACTCTGGCAAGCTCTGTGTGTAAAACTTCCTTACAAATGCCAGGTTTGGGGAATGGTGAGAGAGGTCATGGTGGGGGCAGGTTTGGCACCAGCCCCTCTTGCATTTTTGGGGTTGCAAGTCCCAATTCCTCTTGGAATTCCCTCCCTGTGTCCTGCTGAGCTTTCACTTTCCAAGTGGATCAAAGCCTTGGCTTTGGGATTCACACAGAGAGGCAGAGTAAGGAGAGAAGGAGATTATTTAAGATGATTTAAACCCAAAAAGCTGTGACTGCCTGGATTTGCTCCTTGGCTGTTGCAAACAGGCAGGAATCAATTCCTGGAAAAGGGATCTTTGCAAAACACCAGGAAGCATCTGAGGCATGCAAGTGTAGAAACTCCCTCATTCCTCATTCCAGCCCCTCTGGAGCCCTCGAGGGCTCTCCAATGTCCTTTACTCTGTGTGCTCCTGGTACCTGGCAGTCCCCACATCCTTGGGAAGTGCCTCCAGCCACAGGGAATGGTCTCTCTCCATGTCCCTGCTGTGTCCAGGAACAATTGTGGTGCCAAATTCAACCCCATTTCACTTTAAACCCCTTCAAATGTGTTTTAAAAATCTCTCTTCTGCAGGCTGCCAAGCCTCCATGCATCCCAAACCCTCCCCTATTGATGCTGCATCTCTGCCTTGCTTTGATGCCAGGGCTGCTTCTTCCTCCAAGTCATTTGGTTCATTTATAGCAGCCTCAGAGCTCTCCTGCCAGCCCAGAAAAGTGACATTTCTCTTGCAAGCACAGGGAGGTTAAAGCTTTAAATCCCAGAATAATTATAAATGGTTTTGTTGAGAGCATTCCTCCTGGTAACAGATGCAATAAAACATGATTTTGCTACTGGCCTTGGCCCCGTTCTCTTTTGGAATTCCCAATTAATCAAGTTGTTAATGTGGGCTTGAATTCCAAGTGAGACACAGGCAGTGCTTTACAGCTCCTCAGGGTTTTTGGGATCAGCTGGGATGATTCATGCAGAGCTTACCTTGCAGGTTCAGTGCTTCAGCACCACCAGATCTAAGCTGGCTGTGCTGGGAACCAACTGGCAACTGCTTCAGTTGGGTTCTGGTTGTTCCCAGCTGCTTCCTGGGGATCTGTGCCCCAGATGGGGAATTTTGGAGGGTGTAAATCACACTTGGTGGTGGTTCCTGTTTCCCAGGCGTGTCCTGCAGCCTGTCAGCCTCCAGGGTAAGCTCCTCTTAGAGCCTTTAATCCAGCTCCTGGAGCTTGCTGTCCCTATGGATTGTCCTTCCAGCACTCCACAGCAAGGAGGGAAATGTGATAACACTTCCCAGTGTGAGATAACAGCTCTGCTGCTGTCAGCCCGAGCACACCGGGCTGAGTGAGCCCTCCCAGCCCTTCCCTCAGGCTTTTTTTGGGAAGCCAGCATGAAATATTTCTGCTCCAAACCCCATCTCAGCCTGACTTTGGTCTGTGCCTCATCAAAGGCGCCGTTTTGCAGGTGCTGCCGCTCGCAGAGGGGATGTGGAAAGGCCTTTTCAAAGCCAGAGAGCTTTGCTAAGCTAAGCTTGTTTTTTGGGCTCAGCTTTTCCTGTTTTGAGCTTGAACTTCACATGACTGTAGCATAAGCAGAAAAACCAGTGTGGGGGGGGGGGAAATCAGTGGGGAAGGTGAAGTTGAATTTTCCGGGTGTTTTGTGGACAAATGTCTGTGCCTGCTCCTCTCGCTGGTCTCCATCCCAGTGGAACATCTGGAGCAAACAGCTGCTTCTGCTTTGCTGCTCTACAAAAGGGGTTTTTTTTTTCCTTTGGTTTGTGCTGGAAGCAAAGCTGCCCCCACCCAGCCCCGAGCTGTTTTCTGTTGGCCACGACCTCATTTGTCACTTCTCCAAGCCAGCCCTAATATAGAGAAATCCCGGTGGCTTTTCCCCACTTGGCCAGGAGAAGATCCACTGCCCATTATGGAGCTGGGTTCCACTTTGGGTGTCTTCCCAGAACCTCTTAGTGCAGTCTGAGGCTGATGAGTGCCCTGGGAAAGGATTTTATGACATGGCCTGTTTGCCTCTCTTGCAGTGCGTGCTGTATTTATGGAGTTTAAAGATAAATCATCCCAAAACGTTGTTCCTCCTTCGAGGGAACCACGAGTGCAGGCACCTCACAGAATACTTCACCTTCAAGCAGGAATGTAAGTATCAGCAGTGGGAGAAGGATTTGAATCCATTTAAATAATACATTTTAAAATATATTTTTTAAAAAAAAAGGTGTTGTGAGAAGGCGTGGGCTTCAATTTTTGTGCCTCTGAGTGGCATCAGAGCTGTAAAAACCTGTTGTCTTGTTTTCCTGCTCTTCTGCTATAAAAAATACCCCAAACCCCAAATCTTGAAGTTCTGCTAAGCACCAAATGTGGCCTTTTGGTTTCAAAGCCTGAGTGTGGATGGAAGAAATGGGAACACTTCTGTCCTGATGAGCCAGGCACACACATCCTCCCCTCCCTGACTTCCAGCCCCAGCAACATGTAATCAGTGCCAAAAGCCTTCCAGCTCCAGATTGTGCAGCTGGGATCAGTGATTGGAGCTGGAATGGGGGAAGGATTTGCTCCTCCCTGTTTGCACTGGGGAGGATCATTTACCTTTCAAATGGTTTTTTCAGTGAAAAGATGGGTTTGTGCACAGCATTTGCATGTTTTTCAAGCAGTGCTGAGGAAAGGTCAGGGAATGATGGGTGTCTGTCATTCCAAGGAATAAAAGAGGTGGAGAACTCAATGCAAAGCTCCTTTAGGGAATTCTTGCTCAAGGACCCGACCTCCAGAGATAATTCTGGTCAAGGCACAAATCCAATCTTTATCCCATCAGCTCTGGGTGCTGGTGGATGGGGGAAGGCTCAGAGGGGATGAGTCCCTGTTCTGTTAACTCAGGAATGAGCTGGAAAACACCTCCCAGCTCTGTGCTGGAAGCTGTGCCCCTCACCTGCACACAGGTGAGCTCCTGCTGAGCTGGGCCCAGTCTGAACCAGGTGCTGGGGCTGGGTTTTTCCCTTTGGAGAACAGGAGGTGCTGCTTTTCCCTTTCCCTGAGGATATTTCTGAGCAGATTTGAGCCTTGGTGTAAGAGCCAAACTGCTTTGGAAAGGCTGTGATTTATGTTTGGGAACATCTTCTTCCCCTCTGCTGGGGTGAGGAATCACTGGAATTGTCATCCCTGGGGGATCCATTCCTGTGGGCAAATCCTGCCTCCCAGGACCTGTGGAAAAGCAATTCCTGCCCCCATGGCTGTGTGATGCTGCTGTGCCAAATTCAGCAGTCAGGATGAGTCTGGAGGTGCAGCAGGGCTGTGGGGAGCGATGGGGGGGCTCCAGCATCCCAAATTTATTACATGATCCCAGTTTTCATGATGTGGGAGCACCTCATCTCCTTTGTGCTGATCTCAGTGCAGGCATTCTGGAAAACAAATTGAAGGGACATGAATATTGTCCAATTCCAGATTAAAAAAAAACCTTTTACACACCCAACAATTATTTTCCAAATACCCAGGTGCAGCGTTTTAATCTAAATCAGTATTTTCACAAATACCCAGGTGCAGAGTTTTAATCTAAATCAGCATTTTCAGGAATACACAGGTGCAGAGTTGATTTTAAATCAGTATTTTCATGAATACACAGGTGCAAAGTCTGAGTCTAAATCAGTATTTTCACCAATACACAGGTGCTTTTAAATCAGTATTTTCTCCAATACACAAGTGCAGAATTTGATTCCAAATCAGTATTTTCACAAATGCACAGGTGCAGAGTTAATCCCAGGTACAGAGTTGAATCTAAATCAGTATTTTCACCAATACACAGGTGATTTTAAATCAGTATTTTTACCAATACACAAGTGCAGAGTTGACTCCAAATCAGTATTTTCAGGAATACACAGGTGCAGAGTTTGATTCTAAATCAGCATTTTCAAGAATACACAGGTGCAAAGTGTGATTCCAAATCAGCATTTTTACAAACACACAGGTGCAGAGTTGATTCCAGGTGCAGAGTTGATTCTAAATCAGTATTTTCACAAATACACTGCTAATTTTAAATCAGTATTTTCACCAATACACAGGTGCAGAGTTCATTTTAAAGTAGCATTTGCAGGAATACACAGGTGCAAAGTTTTAATCTAAATAAATATTTTCACCAGTACGATGCTGATTTTAAAGCAGTATTTTCACTACCAGGTGCAAAGTTTGATTTGTGAGCCATTTTGATTTTGGAACTGGGTTCCTGGAGTTTATTGATCAGCACTTGAGGTGATCAGAGCTTGATTGGATTCCTCCCTGCAGGTCGAATCAAGTACTCAGAGCGAGTGTATGACGCGTGCATGGACACCTTCGACTGTCTTCCTCTTGCTGCCCTCCTCAACCAGCAATTCCTGTGTGTCCACGGGGGCCTGTCTCCAGAAATCACGTGTCTAGATGACATTAGGAAAGTAAGTCAGCTCCAGGAGCTTTTCCCTTCCCTCCCAGGTCCCCATGGGGTTCACTCCTGTGTGGATTTGGGGCTGGGATGGGTGGGAATCTGTGGGAATCCATAAAATCAGAGGGTTTTGAGAAAGCTAAAAAAGACAGGCCTCAGAAACAACAGAACTGTGATTAGAGCTAAGCAGTAGCCATGAGATTGGTCAGCAGGAAAATTATGTAAAAAGTAGAAAAGTAAAAGCAAATAGAACAATGGTCTGTGTATTAATGCTTGTCTAAAATAAATCCATAAGCTACAGAAAAGTTTATCTAACAAGATATTAGGAAGTTCTAAGCTTAATAACAGAGCTCTGTACATTGTGTTTTAAGACTTACAAGCAGGTTTGAATATTTTGTATTCAAAATAAGCAAACGTTTTAACCAAAGGTACCTGTGCTTATAGTGGTTGGATAGAACTACTGTCAGTGTGCTTTTGCTTTGTGGGATTGGTCAAAAAACTTTTAAAGTGAGTTGTAACATTGAGTTCTTGGTCTGCTGCCTAAAATGTGAGCTGATAAATCCTCCCATTGTCATAACCAAGTAATGAGACTGATGCTGGAAAATAAAACAGCTTGAGAGGTGTCCCACAGCAGCCCCATCCCACTGGTGATTTGTACTGTCTTGGTTTGGAAAGCCAGATGTCTGCTAAGGAAGGCAGGAGCATCCCTGAAATGGAGAATGTAATTGCCCCTCTCTGAATTGCTGTAAATTTTAATTTAAGGGGCTCTCAGGCAAAAAATATGGGAGCAGGAATAACAGTTCTTTATTAGGGAAGAAAATAAAAAGATAAAATAAACAATGCAGTGAACTAAACCAACACTGCCAGAGTCAGAACCCAACCTGACACCCTGTGGGTCAGGGTGTGGGCAGCAGAACCATTGGAATTGTGGCTCAGCCCTCCTGCAGTGCCAGGGCTGGTTCTGCTGGAGCAGGGATCCTGGAGAAGGGGGGAGTCTCTTCCTCTGGAGATCCAGGGGAAGGAGAGGCAGCTGCTGCTCCTCTGGGGAATCCCGTGGAGAAGCCGTGCTGGTGTTCCAGAAACTCCAGATTATATCCAGGTAGGAATGCTTGGCTGGTGTTCCAGAAACTCCAGATTATATCCAGGTAGGAATGCTTGGCTGGTGTTCCAGAATCTCCAGATTATATCCAGGCAGGAATGCTTGGCTGGTGTTCCAGAATCTCCAGATTATATCCAGGTAGGAATGCTTGGCTGGTGTTCCAGAATCTCCAGATTATATCCAGGTAGGAATGCTTGGCTGGTGCTCCAGAATCTCCAGATTATATCCAGGTAGGAATGCTTGGCTGGTGTCCCAGAATCTCCAGATTATATCCAGGTAGGAATGCTTGGCTGGTGTTCCAGAAATCTCCAGATTATATCCAGGCAGGAATGCTTGGCTGGTGTTCCAGAATCTCAGATTATATCCAGGCAGGAATGCTTGGCTGGTGTTCCAGAATCTCCAGATTATATCCAGGTAGGAATGCTTGGCTGGTGTTCCAGAATCTCAGATTATATCCAGGTAGGAATGCTTGGCTGGTGATCCAGAATCTCCAGATTATATCCAGGTAGGAATGCTTGGCTGGTGTTCCAGAATCTCCAGATTATATCCAGGTAGGAATGCTTGGCTCCTCCCTCTGGGCTCACATCTCCCAATGGGATGCTGCAGTTCTTATCAGCCATGCAGGGACATTCAATGGCCTCTTATCAGCAGATGTCTCCCCAGAGGGAGGAGTGGCTGTGGAAGAGATAAGAAAACTGCCCAATTAACAGAAGCCAGCTGCCATGCAGATGGGGAATAGAGCACAACTTGCTTGGCAATCCAGGACATGCACACAGCCCCAGCTAAGAGGAATCCTGGCCCAGCTCCTGCTGATGTTGTGTCCCCTCTCCAGTTAGACAGGTTCAAGGAGCCTCCAGCCTTTGGTCCGATGTGTGACCTGCTGTGGTCGGATCCCTCCGAGGATTACGGCAACGAGAAAACCCTGGAGCATTTTGCCCACAACACTGTCCGAGGCTGCTCCTATTTCTACAGGTGAGGGGTGTTCAGGGGGCATTTCTTTCTCCTCACACTAAAATCACTGCTCAGGCCACTCTGGGGGGCTTTGCAGTCTGCATGAAATTCTCCTCACTTGGCTCTGATATACAAATTCTTGTTTGTTTTTTGCTTCTTTGAGTATTGAGCTGTCTTTGGATAAGTTTAAATATTGAGCTGTCTTTAGCTATCGAGCTGTCTTTGGATAAATTTGCTATGTCAGGGAAGGTATAGGTTGGATATTAAGAAAAAATTTTCACCAAAAGAATAATAAAGCACTGGAATGCTCTTCCCAGGGAGGTGGTGGAATCACCATCTCTGGATGTGTTTAAAAGCAGACTGGACATGGCACTTGGTGCCATAGTCTGGTTGAGGTGTGAGGGCACAGGTTGGACTGGATGATCTTAGAGATCTCTTCCAACCTCATCATTCTGTGATTCTGTGAATATTGAGCTGTCTTTGAATAAGTTGAAATATTGAGCTGTCTTTGGATATTGAGCTGTCTTTGGATAAATTTGAATATTGAGCTGTCTTTGGATAAGTTACTTTGTAGAATTGGGATCTCAAGCATCAGAGATGCTTCTTTGGACTGGCTCTATGAGTGATTTGCAGCATCTGGATCTCTAGGAAATATTTTCCTTGCTAAAAAAGAAGGATTTGTGCTGACAGTCCACTTACAGGAAGGGTTTAACAGAACCCTTTGCAATTAATTTTTATATAAAAATATATCATTGGAATAATTTTTGAATAAAACATATTTTGAGGACAGAAACTGGATGTTTTCTGCAAGTAACTGCTCCCAGAAACCAAGACCACCCGAGTTCTGTGCTCTCCTTTGCTCACAGCTGAGTTCTCCTCCCTTTTTGTTTTGCAGTTACCCTGCAGTGTGTGAATTTTTGCAGAACAATAGTTTGTTATCCGTAATCCGAGCTCACGAAGCCCAGGACGCTGGGTGAGTGCTGCAGCCCCGGGGCTGGGCGGGGTTTGGGCTGTGCTAAGCCGGGTTTAACTCGTGCCTTGTTTTGCAGGTATCGAATGTACAGGAAGAGCCAGACCACGGGCTTTCCCTCGTTAATCACAATCTTCTCTGCACCAAATTACTTAGATGTCTATAACAACAAGGGTAAGCCTAAGGCTCTGCTGGTCTTGGGGGAGGTCAGGAAATCCCTCTCCCACTCTGCCCTCCCAAAATCACAGGATAATTTCATTGGAAAAGAGATCCAAGCCATTGAGTCCAACCTGTGCCAAATCCCCACCTTGTCAGTGAGTGTCACCTCAGCTGTTCCTGGGGCACCTCCAGGGATGGGCACTCCAACCCTCCCTGGGCAGTGCCAAGGCAGTTCCTGAGCCCCCTTTCCATGGGGAAATTCCTGCAGTGCCCACCCTGAGCCTGCCCTGGCCCAGCCTGAGGCCGTTCCCTCTGCTCCTGTCCCTGTTCCCTGGAGCACAGCCCGGCCCCCCCGGCTGTGCCCTCCTGGCAGGAGCTGTGCAGAGCCACAAGGGCCCCCTGAGCCTCCTTTGCTCCAGGCTGAGCCCCTGCCCAGCTCCCTCAGCCTCTCCTGGGGCTCCAGACCCTGCCCAGCTCCCTCAGCCTCTCCTGGGGCTCCAGCCCCTGCCCAGCTCTGTTCCCTGCCCTGGATTCACTCCAGCCCCTCCAGGTCTCAGTGAGGGGACCAGAACTGGACACAGCCCTGGAGGCACCTCCCCAGTGCCCAGCACAGAGTGACAATCCCTGCCCTGCTCCAGCTGCCACCACACTGCTTTTGATACAAAACCCACACTATTTTTGATACAAACCCTCTCCTCCAGTCACATTCTTGTGCCTGGAATGAAAGAGAGCTTTGTGTGCTGAGCTGAAGTGGTTGACTTAATGTGTTACTGTGGCAATTAACTCTGGAGTCATAAGGCCTGGAATAAAGCTTTCATTCCCAGCCACAGGAGAATGGAGCCCTTTTGATGGGTGCTGCCATCCCACAGAAGCTGATAGTGCAGGAAAGTTTTCCACTTCCCTCTGCCCCTAAACCATGGTGGAATTTTCTCCAGCTGTGGGGTTTTTACCCCTCACTTTGGATCTTGGCTCTGTTTGAGTTTCACTGTTCTAAGCTGAGAACCAGCCTGAGGAAACCAAAATATTATGGCTTAAACCTTCTCATTTTGGAGAGTTGGTAGCTTGATGCTACACAAGTGTAACAGGGTGTTGATAATGAAGGTTTTATAACACTGGTAAAACTTCCAGAGGGAGCCAGGCTGGGAGAGCTGGGGCTGAAAGAGGAAGAGGCTGCAGGGAGAGCTCAGAGCCCCTGCCAGAGCCTAGAGGGGCTCCAGGAGAGCTGGACAGAGACTTGGGACAAGGGATGGAGGGACAGGACCCAGGGAATGGCTCCCACTGCCAGAGGGCAGGGATGGATGGGAGATTGGGAAGGAATTTCTTCCTCTGAGGGTAGGGAGGGGCAGGGATGGAATTCCCAGGGAAGCTGTGGCTGCCCCTGGGTCCCTGGAAGTGTCCAAGGCCAGACCTTGGGGGCTTGGAGCAACCTGGGACAGTGGAAGGTGTCCCTGCCCATGGCAGGGGTGGCACTGGCTGCTTCTTAAGATCCTTCAAATCCAGGATTCTGTAGGTGGAAAGTGCCCATGGACATTTATTTATCTTTGCCTTTTCTCCCCCAGCTGCTGTACTGAAATATGAAAACAATGTCATGAACATCAGGCAGTTCAACTGTTCCCCTCACCCCTACTGGCTTCCAAACTTCATGGATGTCTTCACATGGTCCTTGCCTTTCGTAGGGGAAAAGGGTAAGAGAGATTTGGGGTTCTGTTCCAAACTCCCAGTGACTGCTCCTCATATCCTGAGTGTCACAAACCTGTCCCACACTGCTGGGAGAGTGTGGGAGAGCAGTTCAGGCTCAAGGAGATCTTCCTTACTGGGCTAAATTCATGCAAAACCAGCTGTTGGTAGCTGTTTGAAAAAGCTTTTCCCAGTAAAACATTCCTTTCTTGCTCTTCCTGCATTGCTGGTGGGGCTGCTCTTGGGTGCTGTAGCCCCACCTCAGAATCTGGAGATGTTTCTCTCGGTTTGCAGCAGAGGAATTTTAAATTCCTGTTGGCTCCTGGCCCACCAAAAAGGAAGCATTCACTTCAATCCAAGGCTTATTTTGTTCTCAAGAAGGCGAGCCAGCTTAAAATATGACCAAGACTTTGCCTCAGCTTTTCACCAAAAGGATTTTCACCTCTCCTGATGAGATTAAATTCCACCCCAATCCCCTTTGTTTGGGGTGCAGCTTCACCCTCACCACTCCCAAAGGGTTTTTTGACTTTGAGGCACCAAAGGTCGAATCCCCCCCTCCCCAGATTTGGCCCTTCTCAAAGCCAGGTGGCTGTGGCGTGGGTGAGGATGGGGAGGGGGGACCTTGAGGGAGCTCAGGCTGTTCTGCAGGAATGTTGGCACCTCCTTCCCCACGTCTGGTTCCTCTGTGATGTGCTTGGCCTGCATCCACCTCCTTGGCAGAAGATGCAACGTGTGTCGTCTGCTCCGGCGCCGCTGCGGGTACCAGCAGGCTGCGCCTAAAAGTGTCTTTAGGCTCCCACATGCAGGGGACAGACGACCTTGAAATCCTTCCCTGGTCCTCCAAATCCCTCTGCATGCCCAGGCCTCTCTGACCTTGCTGTCTGTGCCTCTTGCAGTCACCGAGATGCTCGTGAACATCCTCAACATCTGCTCCGACGACGAGCTGATTTCGGATGGCGACGAGACCTTGGAAGGTAAAATATCCCTGCTGGCACCAGAGAGCAGCAGGGGGAAAGGCTGGGCGAGGTCTTTGATGCCTGAGCAGCACTTGATTTATAGCTGGATGCCCAGCCAGGGTCTCCAGTTCCTTTTTGCTCAACTTTTGCAGTTTTGGGTAGGGAATGTTTGGGTTTTTTTTCTCCTTTGCTGTTCAGTCACAGAGAAATTAAATGACATTCACTGCGACAGACACTTCTTGCCAGCTACTCTGGGAATGGTTTCCTGCTCCTTACACAGGCTGCTGGTTATTTTTTCCCCCAATTCAAAATTTTCTGCAGCAAAATATCCACCCAATCTTCTCATCTGTTGCAGTGAACTCCTCTGTAAAGTGGCTTCTCGTGTCACCCCCTCCCCAGAAACGCTGGGTTTGGCCCTGGTTTCAAGCCATGCATGAAGGGGACAAATCAGTGGTTGAGCTGATGAGCAGTTTGGATTTTGGGGGGGACTCAGGAGTGAGGTGGTGACCTGAGGAAGCTGAGGGGGGCAGCGAGAAGTGGGGCCTGAGCTGCCTCAGCCCCAGGTGGAGACTCTAACCCGCTTATCCCATTGCATTTCCGTTTTGTTTTTTGGTTTTTTGGTTTTTTTCTTTCCTCCCTCCCATGAAAATTAAATTTGTTTCTTCTATCTCTGTCTTCATCTACTTGTTTCTTGGTGTCTCCTCTCCCTGAAGATCACTACATTTCAAGCTATCCGAAAGGTACCCAGCTAGAATTTGCTACGAGCTTAATTATCACTGCCTGTGCCACCAGATCCTTGAAGTGGATTTCCAGAGCTGACTAGTGGGGCAGTCTCTTCATCCCCTTTCAGTTTTAACATAAGCTCCATGTGTTTTTTAACCCTTCTGCGTTCCTCCAGGAACTCTGAGAAACGGGGGTCACGTTTCTACCTGATTCTGAATGCAGCCACGTAGTGCATGGCTGAGCCATGGTGCATGTTAGCCCTGGGTTTGGCTTCCCTGTCCTGATGTGTACTGGGCCATGTGAGGAATCTCAGCTGAGAGGAGATGGATTTGTTCCCTCTTTCCACCTGAATTTTCCCTTTGGTTTCAGCTCCCTCCGTGCTTTTTTTTTTGTTTGTTTCTCTCTCCCGTTGGGTCCATAGAGCGGAAGGGGAGCTCCCCCCTGTCCCGTTGTGTCTGTGTGGGGTCAGAGCAGAGCTGCCAGGCTCGGGCCAGCCCTTCCCTGTGCTCCTTGGATGCCAAAGCTGATGCCTGTGTGCCGCCCAGCGGTGCCCATCAGCCGTCAGCCCCCTCCGTGCTCTGCCTTGCAAACCGTGTCCTCATGGCTGAGTCATTTGTGTCACATCCTGTGCAGTGTGGGCCCAGCTGGTGACCTGCCAGCCAGACCTCCCCGAGTCCGTGTCCTGTGGTGGTTCTACTCTCTTTAGCCCTCTCGAGTTCCGTGTGCCATCTCGTTGGTGTTGCCCTCCTCACCGCCATCCTGATGCCATCCTGATGCCATCCTGATGCCATCCTTCCAGCACCGTTCTCTCTCCGGTGTAGCTGTGACTCTGTACAAACCATGATTTCTTTTCCTGGAGTCAGGCAGGTGCTTCATGCTGACCTTCCCTGGAGAGCAGGAAGGCCCCAACGTGCTGCTCTCTGCTCTTTTCTCTCCCTAAGGTGGGACAACGGTGCGCAAGGAGATCATCAGGAATAAGATCAGAGCCATTGGGAAGATGGCACGGGTCTTCTCAGTCCTTCGGTGAGGATGGGCTGGGCACCGGGCTTAATTCAGGGATTGCGTTTAATTTGGGGACTGGGTTTAGTTTGGCTTAATTTAGTTTAGTTTGGCTTAATTCGGGGACTGGGCTTAATTTGGGAACTTGGCTTAGTTTGGGGACTGAGCTTCAGCTGGGGACTGGACTTAGTTTGGAGACCGGGCTTAAATTGGGGACTGGGTTTAGTTTGGGGTCTGGGCTTAATTCGGGGACTGGGCTTAATTTGGGAACTTGGCTTAGTTTGGGGACTGGGCTTCAGCTGGGAACTGGACTTAGTTTGGAGACTGGGCTTAAATTGGGGACTGGGTTTAGTTTGGAGACTGGGCTTAAGTTGGGGACTGAGTTTCATTTGGGTCTGGTCTTAGTTTGAGGACTGGGCTTAATTTAGGGACTGGGCTTCAGTTGGGGACTGGGCTTAGTTTGTGGACTGGGCTTAATTTGGGGACTGGGCTTAAACTGCGACTGGGCTTAGTTTGGGGACTGGGCTTAGTTTGGGGACTGAGCCTTAATTTGGGGACCAGACTTAATTTGGGGACTGGACTTAAATTGGGCACTGGACTTAATTTGGGGACTGGCCTTAATTTGGGGACTCGGCTTCATTTGGGGACTGGACTTAAATTGGGGACTGGCCTTAATTTGGGGACTGGGCTTGATTCAGGGGACCAGGTTTAATTCAGGGCCTGGGCTTCATTTGGGGACTGGGCTTCATTTGGGCACTTGGCTCCATTTGGGGACTGAGTTTAATTTGGGGACTGGGTGATGGGGAACACTGGTTAGGAAAAAAAAGAAGGGAAAAACTTCCTAAAACAGGTGGTTTTTCCTGACTCTTTCAGGACACATTTTCCTGAAAGAAAGTTGTAGCCAGGTAGGGGTTGGTCTTTTCTCCCAAATAACAAGTGACAGAGGGGAGGAAACAACCTCAGGCTGCAGCAGGGGAGATTCAGGTTGGATATGAGGGGAAATTTCTGCATGGGAAGGGTTGCCAGGTGCTGGAATGGGCTGTCCAGGGCTGTGGTGGAGTCCCCATCCCTGAGAGGTTTAACAGATGTGTGGATGTGGCACTTGGGGACGTGGGTAGTGGTGGTGCTGGGTGACCTTAGAAGTCTTTTCCAGCCTTAATGATCCCATGGCTCCATGATTCTCATGATCCATGACTCCCACAGTGTGTAACTGAGTGTGTAACTGCTGCTGTTCCCTGCAGGGAGGAGAGTGAGAGCGTGCTGACCCTCAAAGGCCTGACCCCCACAGGTACCCTGCCCCTGGGAGTGCTCTCGGGGGGGAGGCAGACCCTGCAGACCGGTGAGTATCCCTGAGCCCTGCATCCCCCTGCCCCAACCCCCCTGGAGCAGCTCCCACGGGCGGCCTGGAGGGTGCCAGGGGACCCCAGCCAGGGTTCAGGCCCGTGGGGAGGAAGGATTGCCAAGCAGGAGTAAGCAGAGGTGTAGGTGGGGGTGTGGAGAGATGCCAAGCTGTCCCCGTGTACCCTCGAGGAAGAAAACCCACAGCACCCTGCCTAAAGCATGTTTAGTGCTTAATTGTTTGTTTCTGCAACGAGTTTTTCTCCTTTATTTCCCTTCTAACGCTGCATGGTGCACATCCTCTGCCTCACCTCGCTGTGCTGCTGCTGTGTGACAGCCTCTGTGTGAATGTGACAGTGACACTGCCTCTGTGTGAATGTGACAGTGACACAGCTGCTTGTTTGTTCTTCGTTCAACCAGACCCCTCCCAATCTGCCCCTGTCAAGTCATGAATCCCAAACAGGAGGAAGGTCCAGCCACAGGAACGAGGTTCCTCCAGGGCTGGATGGTTCAGAAAAGTCTCCTCTCGGGTTTTGAGGTAGTTGTGGAGGTTTCTTCCCAAATTTGCTGCCTCCCTCAGCAGCTCAGGGAGCAGCACAGAGCAAAGGATCCGATCCTTCCCCTCCCAGGGCAAGGAGGTTGGCTGGTGCTCAGGGAATGAGCTAGCCCAGGGGGAATCCTGTAATCCAGTGTGTTAATCCTCCCCTGCCATGGCCTTTGAAGCCTGGCACCTCCCCAGCTTCCCCCTTCCATGGGCACCGGGGATTTCCTGCAGCTCTCCCCGGGCTGGGGCTGGGGTTTGCCTGGATTAAAGAGTTCACGAGTCAGGAACATGGAAATATCACTGCCTGCTCCCAGGGAGGATGCAGCAGCACTCCCAAGCTCATGGATTTCTCTGCCCACAGAGGAGGATGGATATTTTTTCCCTTTTTTTATAGAAACCATCACAGCCCCGTTGCCCCAGTTCTGGGAACAGAGCCTGAGTGGGAAGGTGGCTGCTGCAGCAGCTCTGTCCCTGTATCCCGACAGCACAGGGTCATGCTGTGACATTCTCCAGCACCTTCCCCTCTCAGGGGTTCTCTCAGGGGTACCAGGGATCTCCCCTCCCCCAGAACAAGCCTCTCCCCAGGACAGAACAAACAAGCTGGGCCTTTGCTGCTGCCTCACCCGCCCCGCCCGCCGCCTGCAGGCTGCCCCCGCTGCCCCCGGCATCTCCCGGCTTCTCCTGCCCTCCTCACCCCCTTTCCCTGTCCTTCCTCCTTCTCCTTCCCTCCTTTCCCTGTCCTTCCTCCTTCTCCTTCCCTCCTTTCCCTGTCCTTCCTCCTTCTCCTTCCCTCCTTTCCCTGTCCTTCCTCCTTCTCCTTCCCTCCTTTCCCTGTCCTTGCTCCTTCTCTCTCCTTTCTTTCCCTGTCCTGACCCCTTTCCTTCCCCCTTTTCCCTGTCCTTCCTTCTTCTCCCACTCTTCTTTCCCTGTCCTTCCCCTCTCCCACACCCTCTTCCCTGTCCTTCCTCCTTCTCCCTCCTTTCTTTCCCTGTCCTTCCCCTTCTCCTTCCCTCCTTTCCCTGTCCTTCCTCCTTCTCCCACTCTCCTTTCCCTGTCCTTCCTCCTTCTCCCACTCTCCTTTCCCTATCCTTCCCCTTCTCCCTCCCTCCTTTCCCTGTCCTGACCCCTTTCCCTCCCTCCTTTCCCTCCACCTTTTCCCTGTCCTTCCCCTTCTCCCTCCCCCTTTTCCCTGTCCTGACCCCTTTCCCTCCCCCTTTTCCCCATCCTCCCACCCTTTCCCGTTTTGCACATCCCTTCACACTCTCAGTGAATTTATGGGAGCCCCGTCTGCTGGGTGAGGAGGAGGAGGGGGGGCTGCCCCCCTTTGGGGGTGCCTGTGCACCTCAAAAAAGGGAAACAGGGCTGCAGTGAGGGGGGCCCTGCCCTCCTGAGCCTCTCCCCAGCCTTTCACAGCAGGGCTTGGCAAAATCAACTGAGCAAAGTCACGGAATCTGGGGCAGAGCTGTGCAGCCACAGCTCCATCCTTCCTCCATGGCCTCCCAAGGACCACGTGGCCTCTGCATTGTGTCCAAAGTGAAAAAAGCTGCAGTTTTGAGGCTAAAATCCAGAGAATCTGCTCAAGGGAAGGGCGCCCTTCCAGATGTTGAGGCAGGGCCTACTAAACCTTGGATGTTGTTGCAGCAGATTTAGGAAGGGGAACACTGCTCAGCCCTGTGGTGCCTTGTTGCTTGGTAACACTTTCAGGAGGTGGAGCTGAAGCCAAACTGGATTTGGAGCCTGATTTTCTGTTACAACTCAAGGCACCGGGAGCGGAGCAGCCCAGTACCTGCTGCTTGTCCTTCCCTGGAAAACAGGCTGCCCCTCTCCTTCCCACTGCTCCAAAACATCCCCTGGGAGCCCTTCTGTGTGGTGGAGGGTGAATTCCACATAACTGATCATCCAGAGGTGGCCTGGAGCCACCCAGCCGGGAGCAGAGCTTAGGCCGAGCTTGTCCCTGTCCCGTGCACACAGCAGGAAGCCCCCACTCTCTGCTCCTCTGTTCTTCCATCAGATCAATCCAGAGGAAAGGAGACTCCCCCTGAGCCCTGGGGGGTCCCCTTCCCCCCTTCCTCTCCACCTCCTGTCACCTTTTTCTCCCCTCTCGCCACTCGTTTGGCAGCACCGGGGCTGGGGGGCCGCGGGCTCTGCGTCGCAGCCATGATGTCGGATCACTCACTGTCACTCTGTTTTTGTTCCTTTTTTTTTTTTCCTGTTTTTTGTTTTGTTTTGGTTTTTTGTTTTTTATTTTTTATTTTTTTCCCTGTCTTCATTTCTGCATGCCACTGTTCTTCTGTATTGCAGCCACAGTAGAAGCGGTAGAGGCACGGGAAGGTATGGCTAGAACCCGGCGAGAGACTCAAATCATCTCCGTGTGTGCGTGCGCTCCTTTTAAAGAGCTTTACCAGCCCTTAACGGAAGCTTTTTACTCTTGCATCACCAGAAGTGGGGGAGGACAAGGCCCTGCTGGGAAGGAAAAAACACCCAGGGGTTTGGTTCAAGGCTGTTGCAGCTTGAACAGTTTATTCCTTAGTGGAACACCTTTATTTGGAGTTGCCAAAGCGGTTCCTGCTGCCGCTGCTCGAGACCTTGGGCTTGAGGTCCTGCAATCTGCCAGCACCATCAAAACCCTTAGAAAACAGGATTTTGTGGTGCTGGTGTAATCCCTGCCTTCCCCACAGGTAGGCCAAGGTGGAGAGGCAATTCTCTGCCTGTAGGGTGTAGGAATGACAGATCCATGAGGATTTTTCCTCCATGCCGAGCGGGGCCACGCAGCTCTACAGAGGCTTTGCTTACCAAGGGAAGTTGTTTGTGAGCCAGCCAAGTCCTTGTAAAAGATTTGGCACAGGCTCCTTTTCCTTAAATTCTCCGTAGCACAAAGGAGTTTCACATTTGGTCCGTGTCATCAGGGCGAGGGTGACGTGCTCGTCCCCGCGGTGATGGAACAGGGACATGAAATTCCTCCGTGGGATTCATCCCTCCCAAATCTGCCCGTGTGTCTCCTGGTCATGCAAGAATTTTGCCTTTGTGATCCAAGGACTAGCTGTTCCCTCTCCTGGTGTTGCAGTGTGTGGTTTGTGTCGGAGTTCAGAGCCTTGTGGTGGTGTCTTTGTTCTGTTGTTCTGGGTTTTGCCTTTTTTTCTAAATTTTTATTTTCTTTTTAATTGTTATTTTTTAGTGTCGTGTTTTTCAGCTTTGAAATTTTCCTGAGATTTCACTCTCTGGGGACAGCAAGCACTTGTCTGGTTTATCAAGTTCCTCCTATACTATTAAAATAGGGGGAGGTTTGGGATATTGGAAGGAAATTTGTTCCTGTAAGGGTGGTGGGATGGAATTTCCAGAAAAGCTGTGGCTGCCCCATCCCTGGCAGTGTCCAAGGTTGAACCTGGGATAATTTAACTAGATGATCTTAATCTCCCAACCCAAACCACTCTGTGCTTCCATGAAAAGCTCTTAGGGAGCTGAGCAAATCCTAAACCTCCCTAAAAAAAATAACATCCTCTTAGGGAGCAGAGCAAATCCTAAACCTCCCTAAAAAAGAGAACCTCCCCTTAGGGAGCAGAACAAATCCTAAACCTCCCTAAAAAAGAGAACCTCCCCTTAGGGAGCAGAACAAATCCTAAACCTCCCTAAAAAAGAGAACCTCCTCTTAGGGAGCAGAGCAAATCCTAAGCCTCCCTAAAAAGAACCTCCTCCTAGGGAGAAAAGCAAATCCTAAACCTCCTAGGGAGCAGAGCAAATCCTAAACCTGTCTAAAAGAAGAACCTCCTCTTAGGGAGCAGAGCAAATCCCAAGCCTCCCTAAAAAGAGCCACCTCTTAGGGAGCAAAGCCAATCCTAAACCTCCCTGAAAAAAAATAACCTCCTCTTAGAGAGCAGAGCAAATCTTAAACCTGTCTTAAAGAAAATGAACCTCTTAGGGAACAGAGAAAATCCTAAACCTCCCTAAATAGTGAAGTGCCTCCTCTTAGAGAGCAGAGCAAATCTTAAGCCTATCTTAAAGAAAAATAACATCCTCTTAGGGGAACAGAGCAAATCCTAAACCTCCCTAAAAAAGAGAACCTCCTCTTGGGGAGCAGAGCAAATCCTAAACCTCCCTAAAAAAGAGAACCTCCTCTTGGGGAGAAAAGCAAATCCTAAACCTCCTAGGGAGCAGAGAAAATCCTAAACCTCCCTAAATAGTGAAATGCCTCCTCTTAGGGAGCAGAACAAATCTTAAACCTGTCTTAAAGAAAAAGAACCTCTTAGGGAACAGAGAAAATCCTAAACCTCCCTAAAAAAAGTAACATCCTCTTAGGGAGCAGAGCAAATCCTAAACCTCCCTAAATAGTGAAATGCCTCCTCTTAGGGAGCAGAGCAAATCCTAAACCTCCCTAAATAGTGAAATGCCTCCTCTTAGGGAGCAGAACAACCCCTTCACTTTGCTGCCAGCTGCTCCCAAACACGCGCTGGCACCTCCAGAACCTCCCCAAACAGTTCCCAAACCCAGCCCGGTGCTTCCTGTCCCCTCCACTTGTCCCCGTTGGTGTCTGGCGTGTGCTGGAGGGTTCCTCTGGGGCTGTGCCTGTGCTGGAGCTGACACTGCCCCCTGTGCTCCCTTCCCTCCGCAGCCATCCGCGGCTTCTCCCCGCAGCACAAGATCCGCAGCTTCGAGGAGGCGCGGGGGCTGGACCGCATCAACGAGCGGATGCCGCCGCGCAAGGATTCCCTGCACTCGGACGGCCCCGTGAACTTGGTAACCTCGAACTCTGCGGACAAGAACGGCACGGGCAAGAAACCCCAGTAACGCCAGAGGATCCAAAACTTCATGAATTTTATTTATTTATTATCGGGGTGGGGTGGGGGCAGGGGGAGAAACCGACTTCACCTGGAGGCACGTCCATAAATCCAGTCTGCATCCGTTCTGTAAGAAAGCGACCATTTTGTAATTTTTTTTTTTTTTAATTTATGTTCAATATATATAAAAATGTCCTTTTTTTTTTTTTTTTTTTTGAGTTAGAAACCAATCCAACTGCTAGAGCATCCCGGGAGTGTTGTGCTGTCCAGCTGCCCTCCCCGAGAGGCCAAACCTCTGCTGGGGGGTGTTGGATTAAAAAAACAAATATCAGTCAAACCAGGCAACTTGGGTCGTTGGCTTTGGCACAATTTGGAGTTAGCCTGAGCTTTCCAAAGCAGGTCCTTCTCTTCAGGATACGGTTGGGTTGGTTTTCCTTTACACACCTGTTTTCTTCCCAGATTTTTCCTGTTGTTTTCTTCCACCTCTTGCCTACCTGCAGCTGCTGCTTTAGGCAATTCCCTGGAAGGAAGATTGCTGGGATCCATCCCTCTTTTCCAAGGTGGCAGCCAGGGGTAACTCCAGGGTTGTTAACACCAATCACAGCACCTTTTACTTCAGGATTTCAGCTTTATCCCAGGGGATAAAGGAAAATAAGGAGAAGGTGGGGGGGAAGTGCTGCCCCTTGTTGTGGCTCTTCCTCTTGGAGCAGCCAGTTTGTGCAGCAGAATTCCCTTGGGAATCTCTGATTCAGAGCAGAGGAATTATCACTGCTGTCTGATGGTCCTTGGGAAAGCTGCAGGGCCTGAGTTTTAAAGGAGAAGGGGTGATTTACACCCTGGATGCTGCAGCTCCCCCATTCCCCCACCAGCACAGGCTGCCCAGCCCATGGCACATTCCCTGCTCCCAGCTCTGCAATCAGCCCTTGCTGGGCACTCTGGGGCGTGGGGGACAGGGTGGTCCCCCCAGTGTCACCTCCCTGTCCCCCCAGGGTGTGTGGCTTTGGGCATCACCCACCCTTGGCTGTCCAGAGGAGCCATGGGCAGCTCAGCCTTTCCCAGCAGCTGGAGCAGGGGGTTTGCTGATAAAAGTTTGGGATAAGATGGGTGGGGCACTGCTGCTTTTGGGAGATGTGCTGGGTGCTGGTGGCAGGGCAGCCCCTGGATTGGGAAGCAGGGAGGGTTTGGAAGGCAGAACCCAGTGGATGTGGCAGGAATTTTGGCTGAGTGTTCTGGACAGGGATCCTGGGGGTTCCCAGGGGACACCCCTGGCTGTGGTCAGGGATTTTAGAGTGGGAGCTGAGCATTCTGTCACTGAGCATTCTTCCACTTAGACTGGCAGCACTGGGGAAGAGTTTTGTGGGATTCCTGTTGGTCACTTCCCTGTGAGCTGTGAGGGTTTTGTGGGATTTCTGTTGGTCACTTCCCTGTGAGCTGTGCAGAGTTTTGTGGGATTCCTGTTGGTCAGTTCCCTCTGAGCTGTGAGGGTTTTGTGGGATTCCTGTTGGTCACTTCCCTGTCAGCTGTGCAGGATTTTTTGGGATTCCCTTTGGTCACTTCCCACATGAGCTGTGGAAGGTTTTGTAGGGTTCCCATTAGTGACTTCCCTGTGAGCTGTGAAGGGTTTTATGGGATTCCTGTTGGTCACTTCCCCTATCCCCGTGTGAATTGTGAAGGATTTTGTGGGATTCCCATTGGTGAATTCTTGTGTGAGCTGTGCAGGGTTTTGTAGGGTTCCCACTGGTGACTTCCATGTGAGCTGGGAAGGGTTTTATGGGATTCCTGTTGGTGACTTCCCTGTGAGCTGTGCAGGATTTTTTGGGATTCCCATTGGTCACTTCCTTGTGAGCTGTGAAGGTTTTTATGGGATTCCTGTCAGTCACTTCCCATGTGTTTTATGGGATTCCCGTTGGTCCCTTCCCTTCCCAGCCGTGGCCATTGCCTGGAGCTGAGGCAGCAGCTCCTGGAGCACTCCCCCCTCCAGCTTTCCCTGTCCCTCCTTGTCCCGTGCTCTCTGCAGCAGGGCTGAGCCTCTCCCAGGGGATCTTTGCCAAGGCTTTCCCTGGATCTTGCCGTCTTCCCTCGGCCAGAGGAAAACAGCAACTTCCCAGGAAGCTTTCAAATTGTCTTAGGATCAGACGTCACCTAATCCATCCCCCGGGGCTGTTTAGGATTCTGTGGGCAGACCGCTGGGTTTCCACACTTTTCAGTCACATGCCTCCACTTTCCCCTCTTTTTTTTTCTTTTTTTTTTTTTTTTCTTTTTTGGTTGGTTGTTTTTTTTTTTTTTCCCTTTGATCCCTTTTTTATTTCCACGCCCACCTCTTTGCGAGATGTTTGGAGCGAGCTTCTCTTCCCCCCAGTCCGAGGAGTGGGGCCAAATTGCCTTTTGTCTGTGAGTATTTCTTTGTCCTTTCAGGGCCTCCTGTGAGCGGTGAGCCCGTGTGTGGTACCCATGGGGCTGCCCGTGCATGTTCGGGCGTGTTGTGCTGACCCAGGCTGGGATCTCACCCAAGCAGCCAGGTTTTAGTCGGGATCTTTGGGATGGGAATTGCGGGACCCCGAGCCCCTGTTCCCAGCGTGGGCCCTGCCCATCACACAGGGGGATTTGCTTTGCTGGCAGTTTGTCCCCCCCACCCTCTTCTCCTGCTCTGGCATCACCAATTCCCCCTCCTCAAAATCCTTTTGGACTTTGTGCTTCATGGTTTGGGGGCTCAGATCCAACCCCCTGATGCTTGGGGCTGGTGGAACTGCAGCTTCCCAGTGTCCCAGCCCTGGAAAAGGGCTGGATGTTCATTGTCCTGGCCCTGGAGGAGGTGGCCGAGGGGTGGGATTTTTGTCCCCCCTTATCCCTAGGGCTGCTGGAGCTGCACTGTGCCAGCCCTGGAGGCAGTGCCAAGTGTCTCCAGGGTGACACTTGGCTGTTGGTTGCCCCTGTGGCACCCACACGTGTGGCTGTCACGCTGCCAGGTCCCCTCTTCCCTTTGAAGCAGTTCCCGAGGGGGTGAGGAGCAGCGATGGGGCTCTGGGTGCTAATTACCCCCTTCATTACCGCCCCCTCTCCGTGCCGGGCTTCCCCTGCCACCGCCCCCAGCCGAGATCCCCCCTCCCCTCTTTTGGGGACAACTTCGGAGCAGAATTCCCTGCCCCGATCCCCACCACGGCAAACCAAAAAACCAATCCAGAAACGCCCCCAAATTCCCCCTTTTCCTCCTTTTCCCCCCCAGATCCAGCGCCTCGGAGCTGGGCTTGTCTCTGACCCCTCCTCTCCGAGCTCCCGCCCGTCCCTTCCCCTCCCCGGCTGCCACCTGGAGCTTGGACATCCGGGATTGAGGGGAGCCCACGGGCCCCGGGGGAGCCCCCCCGACCCGAGGGAGCCCCCAAATCCAGGGAAAGCCCCCACCTCCCCGCAGCCTGGGTTTTTTTGCATGTTCTAGCAAGGTGCATGTCCAAGGAGGGGAGTCGGCAATGGGGCGGGTGGTGGGTTGAGTTCAAGCTTAATTTTCTTTTTTGGGATTGGGAGAACCCCTCTGGCTGCCTCTGGCACAGATCCCACCTGGCCAGGGGAGCTGGCAGGGATGCAGATCCCACCAAACCTCAGCCAGGGAGGACCTGAAGCCCTCCAGGGGTGCAGTGATGGTGATTTTAGGGTTCTCGATGCTGAAGGATCATACGCCCGTTGCCTGGAGACTGCCTCCTTTTTAATTTTTATTTTTATTTCTTGCTTTTTTTTTTTCTTTTTCTTTTTTTTTTTTAGTTCTGTTGAAAGGAGAAAAAAAATGGTGAAAATGTTATTTATTGGCAGAAATTATTTAATATAATTTCTTTTTTTTTTTTTCTTTTTGTGAAACAAGGAATGAATTTGTTAGAACTGTCTCGATGTAAATCGGAGTCATCTTTAAGGAGGAAAAAAGAAAGAAAAAAAAAGTTAAAAATTGACACAGTCACTGCGCTCCACTGTGATTTTTTGGGTGGCTGAGGGGGGTTCATTGCTGCCAGAAGGGAGGATTTGGGGGGTTCTAGAGGCTCTCCAGGGCATCTCCCAGCCCCCAGCGGCGGCTCCCGGCTGCATTTGGAGATTTGGAGCTCTCAGCTCCTGCTCCTCGTCCTTCCCTGGGTAAATAACGCGGTGCCAGCAGGGACAGGACGGGATGTGCCAGCTCTTGTTCCACCCCAGCTCCTTCCTTGTCCCTTCTGGGGTGTTCCCTCCACAGAGAGGATTCAGGGAGCAGCCCTGGGGTCAGGATCCATCTGGGTGGATCCGAACGGTGACAGTTCCACGGCTCCTGCTCAGGGATCCCCTCCTGCACCATCCCTGGGGAGCTGCTGTGGCTCCAGCTCTGCCTTCCACACCTGGGATCCGTCCCCTCTTCCCGAGGGGCAGCCGAATATTCAGGATAAACTCCGGAGCACTCCAGGGCGTTATCCCAATCAACCATCCCAATTCCTCCGGGAATTCAGCGCCACCTCGAGCTCAGCTCCCCACGTGCTCCCCATTTCCCACCTGCTCCTCCCCGCTCCCGGATGCATCCAGGGCACGCCCGGGCCGGGACGCTCCGGCTCTCCCACCCTTTTCCTGGGTGTTCCCACCCAAACTGGGGAGCCCCCAAGCCCCGGCACCGCTGGCAGACCCCGCGCTGGGCACCGGGGGCGGCTCCGGGCACATCCCTGCCCAGGGGAGCATCCCTGGGAGCATCCCCGGGCCCGGCCGCGCGTTCCCGGCTGGCATCGCCGCTGAGCAAACAGGAAACACTCGCCCTTTGTTAATCCCGGCCCGGGCTGCGCGTTAAATATTTATCTGTGAGCGGAGGCTGGTGCTGGGAGCCGCGGGGAGGGAGGGACCGAGGCAGGGCCGGCGCTGGAGGCTCCCGGCCGGGCACGGGGACGCTGCGTGCGGAGCGGGAGGTGAGCGGGGCTTTGGGCAGGGGGTGTCGGCACCCCGAGGGGGGCTGGGGCAAGGGGGCTGCTCCTCGCATCGCCAGCGGCTGCTGTGACCTCGAGAGGTGTCACTGGGTGGGCTGGAGGGCACCCGGAGGGGATGGGCACCCCTTGGCAGCAGGGATGGGCTCGGGGGTGTCCCCTCGCTGGGTTTAACCCTCCCCAGCCCCGCTGCCATCCCTGCCCCGGTCACCCCGGGATCCTCCAGCAGGATCAGCTCCTGTGTCCTCGCCACGGTGTCCCCAGCTGGCACCAAGGAGCTGCCTCATTCCCACGGCATTGGGGCGGGGGCAAGGACACCCTGTCCCCTCTGTCCCCTCCGTCCCCTCCGTCCCCTCTGTCCCCGGTGTACCCCGGGCGCAGGATCGCAGCCAGCCGGGGCTCCTGCCATCGTCTCCAGCAGCAGGGGGCGGTGGCTTGGTGGGGACCGAGGGGTGGCAGCGAAGCCACCGTCCCCCGGGAGCTCACGTGGGAACTCACGGGATGAGGAAGGGCTGGGGCAGCCCCGTTTTGGGGGTGTCAGCAGTTTAGGGGAGCAGGAAGCGGCCGGCGGGTGAGTGGTGGGTGCGGGCGCTGCCCGAGGGGGCGAGGGGGGACACGGGGCACCCGCAAAGCGGGGCATGGGGGAGATCTCGGGGGGACCCTGCCCGTATTCCTCAGGGATGGGCGGATGGAAGGGATGGAGGGGTGCAGTGGGGATGGGGGCTCTGCTCTGACTGTGCCCCACACCAGGGCTTGGGTGGGCACAGGAGCACAGATCCCACTCCCCACTTCAGCCCTCGCCTCTCAGCATTTCCCTCTTCACCCACTTCCAAAAATCCCCCTAAATCCCCTTCTCCACCGGATGGGGAACTGATGACGCCGGAGGGGGTGAGGTGGGACACAGGCAGAGCACTGGGGGCTTACATGGGGGTCCCCAGTGCCCAAATCCCGGGGGATGGAGAGATTGAAGGGATGGAGGAATGCAGGAGATGATGGAGGGGATGGAGGGGATGGAGGGGATGGAGGGATGGAGGGGATGGAGGGATGGAGGGGATGGAGGACATGGAGAGGATGGAGGGGATGGAGGGGATGGAGGGGATGGAGGGATGGAGGGGATGGAGGGGATGGAGGGATGGAGGACATGGAGGGATGGAGGACATGGAGGGATGGAGGACATGGAGGGTCACCCGTGGGAAGGTGGGCAGCGGTGGGGATGGGGGCTCTGCTCTCCCCGTGCCCCCATCCCGGCGCTCGGAGGGGCACAGGAGCACAGACCCCGCTCCTCCCCTCAGTCCCCACCTCCTCCCGGAATTCCCTCCCCATCCTTTCCCGCACCCCCCCCGAGTCCCCGTCTCCATCGCGCCGGGGGCCGGCGGCGCCGGGCTCGCCCCGTTTCGTAAGCGGGGCCCGGGTGTGCGGGAACGCGTGCGCGGGGCGTGGGATGAGTTCAACCCCTTGGCTCCATTCCCTGGATCCCATCCCTGGAAATGTCACTGGAAACTCTGAATGGGCCGGCCCCGCTCCAGAGCGGGGAGCGCTGGGGGGGCAGCGCACCCCGGGGATGGGGGGGCCGGGGCACACGGGGACCCAGCGCCGGCCAGGACGGAGCCTCCCGGGGCTCCCGGGGGATGCTCTTGGGGGGCTCTCCCCGCCAGCCCCCCCCATGCGCTGAGGGCCCCCCCGCTCCCTCTCCCGGCAAAGTTCGTGCCGTGGATTTTTCTTCCGCGCCGCTCGCGGCTCCGTCCCGCTCGCCCCGGGGCTCCCCAAAACCCCGGCGCTTCCCGGGGGGGCCCCGCTGGCACCGCCCAGGAGGTAAGAGCTGGCTGGGGGGGCCCCGAGGGGACCCCCGGGGACAGGTTTTGGGGGACACTCCAAAGGAGGAGAAGGATGGGGCCGAGCCCCGTGTGGGGCTGCGCTGGGGATGGCGTGGAGGTTTTTGGGGTGCCCTGGGGGAATGGGAGCCTGCACCCCACTTTCTGTGTCCCGGGGCACCTCCTTCCCTGGTCTCAGTTTCCCCACGGGGGTGATTAACGTTAATTACAACCTTGGAGCTGCCGAGCCCGCAGCGGTGTGGGAAACAGGGGGTCCCGATTTGGGGGTCCCACACACACAGAGGGCACCGTGTCGGGCTGGGACCCCCGGCAGCCGCCCAGGGCGCCCCGTTTGAGGCGGGATCTGGCACCTGCGAGCGCCGGTGCCGGGCTGGGCACGGAGACGTGAGAGGGACGAGCCAGGGCACGGGTGTCCCCCCAAGGCCCCGGGGCCATCCCGGTGTCGGGAGAGGCTCCGGGGGTCCCGGCCCCCCCAGCCGCCCCCCGGCCGGTTCTCGGTGAGTCACAGCTCGGCTCCTCGTCCCTCCGTCCCCTCTCCCTCCCTGTTTGCGCTGCAGGGCGGGGAAATATTTCTGCCCTGTCGTGTTCCCGGCCCTGGCAGCGCTCCCGGGCGGGCGACGCTGCTGCCGCCACGTGCCCGGGCGGGAGGGCAGCGCGCCGGGATGCCGGGCATGGGAAGGCGGCGCTGCCATCGCCCCGAGCCGCCCCGGGCGTGTTCTCACGGCGGGCTGGATCCATCCCTGCCGAGCCGGGGCAGGGCGAGGGGCGGGTGGTCTGGATCAGCATGGGTAAGGAGCTGGGCACCCGTGCCAGGGCTGGTTCTGAACAGGAACAGCCCCTTCCCCTGAGCCGGGGACGCTGCCACCGCGGTTGTCACCGCACACGGTGCCCCCTGTGCCTCTGAATAACAGGGGACGCTCCCCGCGGTGGGGCTGGGGCTTCTCCGAGCCTCCGTCGCTCTGGCAAACCTGGGAATGCCCAGAAAGCGGGGACAGCATGAGCACAGCTGCTTTTCCCACAGGGCTCGGGCAGCTCCGGAGCATCATCCCCCCCCTCCGGCCATGGCGGGCCGGCTCCTGCCCCCCGACACCAGCCCGGCCCTGGGTATGGAGGACGTTCCCCACCTCCTCCCAGCTCTGCAGGTGTCCCCGCAGCACACGGTGACACGGGTGAGTGGGGCTGGCACATGCTGGGGGATTCGGGGGCTCTGCACCCTTTGTGCCAGCCCCTCCCTGTGCCACAGGTGCCCGTCATCCGCCACCGCGGCTCCAACACCCTCAACTTCCACTTCCATGAGCCGGAGAGCCGCGGCACCGCCCAGAACAGCCAGGGAGCTCCCAAGAGCTCAGGTACAGAGAGCCCTGAGCATCCTGGGGACACCCCCCGGGCCGTGCCCACCTGAGCCATGCCCACCTTGTCTGCAGTGAATGAGTGGTACCAGACCTGGCCAGCCAAGGAGACCAAAGCCCCCAGCCCCCAGGTGCCCGCCCAGCCCAGCCCCAGCCCCAGGGCCGCCCCCGCCTGCCCGCGGCCCCCGGGCTGGTCGGCGACCTGGACCAAGGACAGCAAGCGGCGGGAGAGGCGCTGGGTGAAGTACGATGGCATCGGGCCCGTGGACGAGACAGGGATGCCCCTGGCCTCACGCTCGGTGAGTGGGGGCGCAGGGCAGGGGTGTCACCCCGCTGTCACCCCCTCACCACCCCAACGTGTCCCCCCAGAGCGTGGACAGCCCCCGGGACTGGTACCGCAGCATGTTCCGGCAGATCCACCGCAAGCTGCCAGGTGAGCCCGGGCGTGCGGGTGCGGCACGGAGCGGGCAGGGCTCGGCAGCCGCTCACCTCCCCCATCCTCAGAGCCCGACTGGGACACCCATTCCTGCCCCACCACGGCGCCTCCATCGCCCCCCAAGCCGCGGAGGAGGGGCTCGGCCCCGGCTGAGCCCCCCGGAATGCCCAACGGGATGGACTGGTGAGCCTGGCACAGGGACGGGGGTGCCCACGGGGTGGGGGCTGCGCTGGCTGAACCCTCCCCGTCCTCCACAGGAGCCGCTGGGGCGCCCCCGGTGCCACCGCCGAGCCCGGCAGCATTTTTGACTACGAACCAGGGGAGTTCTCTCCGCGGGAGCAGGTAGGCAGGCCTGGCACTCGGGGAGGGGTGGGCCCGAGGTGGGCACACCCCTGACCGCCCCCTGCCCTTTCAGAGCCCGGCAGCAGCGCGGCCGAAGCGGGCTCAGTCCATCGAGGTGAGGCGCTGGGGGTGGCAGCGGGGTCCCGGTGCCCGCGGGCAGTGCCAGCCTGGCCCGGCACAGCCCCGAACTGCCCCTGCAGGTGCTGCTGGAGCAGGAGCTGGAGCAGCTCAGCGAGGAGCTGGACAAGGACATGAGGGACATGGAGACGCGGCGGACCCCGCGCCAGGTACCCCCGGCCCCCCCTGCTGCCCCTCGGTCCCCCCAGGGCACATCCAGCTGTGGGCACATCCAGCTGTGGGCACATCCAGCTGTGGGCATATCCCGCTGTGGGCACATCCAGCTGTGGGCTCAGCCTTTGTGCAGGGCTTGGACATGCACGTGGTGGGATGCACATCTGGATTAATGCTCGGATGGGTGCATGCACGGCTGGATGTGTGAACAGCTGGATGTGTGCACAACTGGATGTGTGCACAACTGGATGCGTGAACAACTGGATGTGTTCACAACTGGATGTGTGCACAGCTGGATGTGTGAACAACTGCATGTATGAATAACTGGATGTATGAATAACTGGATTTGTGCACAGCTGGATGTGTGAATAACTGGATGTGTGCACAGCTGGATGTGTGCACAGCTGGATTTGTGCACAACTGGATGGATGAATGGATCTGTGCAGGGCTGGAGCCCTGCACATCTGGATGCCTGCACGGCCGGGGTGAATGCACAGCGAGCTGCATGCACATCTGGATGTGTGCACAACCCGGTGCCTGCCTGGCTGGCTCCACGCACATCTGGACCCACGCACGGCTGCTCAGCAGCCTGGAGCCGTGGCTGTGGGGCTTTAGGACCCAGCCCGCCCGTCCGTCCGTCCGTCCGGCGGTTTATTGGCGCAGCCGAGCTGGACTCCTTCGCTTCCCGCCGAGACTCGGCCTCCTGGATGATTAATTTTTCTCTCCCACCCCCTCCCGCTCCTCCCGGCAGAGCCCGGCGGCTGCTCCCACCGCTCGCTCCCCTGCTCCGGCCTCCCCGGCTGCTCGGTGAGTTCCGCGGCCGCTCCCGCCCCCGGCACCCCCAAATCCCCCTGCCCGGACCCCGCTCGAGGCGAGGGACGGGACCCCGCTCCGGGGGTGGCGGGGGGGCTGTCCCTGCAGCGCCCCGCGGGGGGGGAGCCCCCGGCATCCCCTCGGGACCCCCCAGAGCCCCCCCGGTCCCCCAGAGCCCGGCACGGGTGGGAGCGGCGCCGGGCCGGCTGCCCGCAGGGTGGGACGGGGCCGGAGCGGGGCTGAGCCTTTCCCCCGTCCCCGGAGCGGGGACGCCGTGTCCCGGCCTTTGGCTCCGTCCCAGGGGAGGTGACGGCGCTCGGATTGCCACCGCTGTGTCCCACGGGCACAGGGAGGGGACAGCTGTGCCGGAGCACCCCGGGATGGGGTGGGCACCCCGGGATGGGGTGGGCACGCCGGGGTGTCCCCACAGACCCCTCTGTGCCCCGGCAGCAGCAGGAAAACAAACAAACAAACAAACAAACCAACCAACAAACCAACGAGCACCTCCTCTTGTAGGAGCCACCGTAACCCCCAGGGGCGCACAGAGCGGGGGCTCCCCCCCTCCCCAACCCCTCCTGCGGCTTGGGGGGCGCATTTGGGCTCTTTAAGTGCCCCCCGGAGCGGGGTTATTCATTAGCCCTCCCCGGCGCTTCCTGCTCGGCGGCAGCGGGGCCGCGCTGCCGGAAAACTTCGGACCGGTCCCGCTTGGCTGCCCCCGGGAGGAGCCCCGGGAGGGCTGGAGAGAGCAGAGCCGGGGCTCCTGGGTCTGGGGGACCCCAGCGCCCTCACATTGGGTACCCGGTGGTTTTGGGCCGCGGGATCCCGGGGTCCCGGTTCTGGGGGACCGCAATATCCTGGTTGATGGAATTCAGGAATCAGGTCCTGTAGGACCCTGAATTCCTGGTCTGTGGAACCCAGGGGTCTTGGTTCATGGGATGCAAGAGTATCCTGAGGGTCCCTGATGTCCTGGTCCATGAGACCCAGGGCTCCTGGTCCGTGCAATGCACAGGACCCCAATATCCTGCTCTGTGGGACACGGGGGGCAGCAGGGTCAGAGCAGGGGGGGTTCATGGCCCTGCCCTGAGCCACTGTCCCCCCTCAGGAGCCCCCTGTCACCCCAGCGGCTGTGGAGCCCCCCTGCCAGCCACCACTCACCTGCCACCCCCAGCATGGAGCGGGCTGGGCTGGGGCTGGCCAGTGACCGGAGCCCTGGCAGAGGTGAGTCCCCCTTGAGCCCCCTGAGCCCCCCAGGCCCTGCCGTGGGGCACCCCAAGCACCCTGGCTGGTGACACCCCGCTCTTCACAGACACCCTCAGGCCAGGGACCCTCCCCAGCTTGTCGGACCTGGGGGAGCCCGTGGAGGCCGTCAAGAGGGAGGAGAAGAAGGTGAGGCTGGGATGGTCCCGTGCCATGTGGGATTGGGGGTGGCTGCACTGGGGGCGTCTCCCTGTAACCCCTCCTCTCCCTCCCCAGATGAAAGCTGCTCGCCTCAAGTTCAACTTCCAAGCTGAGTCTCCCAAGTAAGCGCCGGGGTCACCCCTGGGGTCCCACGATGACAGATGGGGACTCGGGGAGCCCTGGCACGTGGGGTGGCCCTGCCAGCCGAGCCGGGGACGGGTCTGTGCCCGCGGGCAGGTGTGACAGTGTCCCTTGCAGGGAGCTGACGCTGCAGAAGGGGGACATCGTCTACATCCACAAGGAGGTGGACAGGAACTGGCTGGAGGGGGAGCACCACGGCCGCGTGGGCATCTTCCCCTCCAACTACGTGGAGGTGAGCCCGGGCCATGAGGGGGCAGCGGGGCCGGGGGGCGCTGGCGCTGCCCCTCACCCGCGTGTCCCACCCAGATCCTGCCCCCCACGGAGGTGCCCAAGCCCATCAAGGCTCCCACGCTCCAGGTGCTGGAATACGGCGAGGCACTGGCGCTCTACAACTTCCGAGGGGATCTGCACGTGGAGCTCTCCTTTCGCAAGGTACCGCGGCTCCGTGCTGTGCTATCCCGGGCCATCCCGGGCCGTTCCGGGCCGGGCCATCCCGGGCCATCCCCGGCCGTTCCGTGCTGTGCCATCCTGGGCCATCCCGGGCCATCCCGGGCCGTTCCGTGCTGACCCGCCCTCTGCTCCCGCGGCAGGGCGAGCGGATCTGCCTGGTGCGGAGGGTGAACGAGAACTGGTACGAGGGGCGGATCTCGGGCACCAGCCGCCAGGGCATCTTCCCCGCCACCTACGTGCAGGTGCTGAAGGAGCCGCGGGTCAAAACCACCGCCGAGGACATCCCCTCGTCTCCCGGCCCCGCCAGCCCCCGGCCCGCGGCCGGATCCCCCTCCCTGCAGCGCTCGCCCGGCCCCCGCATCCCCCAGGCTCCCGCGGGGTCCCCCCGGGAAGCCAAGCGGGGTCCCGGGGTGTCGGGCGGGCGCCCGTCCTCCCCGCGCCACCTCGGTGCCACCTTCCCCCCCTCCCCAAAGCTGCCCCACGCTGGCACCCCCAGCCCCTTGGTGGCCTCTGCCAGCCCCCCACACCCTGCCTGGAGCCCCGAGCAGGTGAGTGCCCCCCGCCCTTGCACCGTGCCCCGGCACCGCTGGGGCTGCGTGTGCCACCCTGAACCCCCCGTTTGCCCCCACAGCGCCCGACCCCGGCGGCGCAAAGCAGCGCCCGGCCCGAGCCCGCCCCGTCCTACAACGGCTCCGAGATCCGGTGGACTCCGTAAGCAGGGCCGGGAGCGTCCCCGGGCGCGGTGTCCCCACGAGGGACCCTCCCGTGGGTGGGGTGGGCTCTGCCCACGCTTTGTCTCGCAGGTACCGGGCGCTCTACCAATACCGGCCCCAAAACGCCGACGAGCTGGAGCTGCTGGAAGGGGACAGGGTGGATGTCATGCAGCAGTGCGACGACGGCTGGTTCGTGGGTGCGTGGCCGCCGCTTTGGGGACAGGGATGGGGACAAGGTGCCACCCTCACCCCTCGCCACCTCTCCGCGTCTTTATACCCGCAGGAGTGTCCAGGAGGACGCAGAAATTCGGCACTTTCCCCGGGAATTACGTGGCGCCGGTGTGACCCGCGGCCGTGGGGACCCCGGGGGCTTCCCCCTGTCCCGCCGTGTCCCCGCCGTGTCCCCCCACGGGGATGAAGCGCCTCCAGCTCCCTCCCGCCCCTATGGGGCTGCTTCTAACAGGGACGAATCCCCCCAGCGCGGGGTGTCTCCCCCGCCCCAGTGCCTTAACCCGCCCCCTCCTCGCCGCTGCCCGGTGCCACCGCCCCGGGGGTCGCCCCGGGGCTCTGCCCGGTGCCGGGCCTGACCATGACGGCCGTGCCCGCGATGTGGGCCCGTGTCCGGGAGTCGCCTTCGCTTCTTTTCCGTCATTAAAGCTCAGCTCAGCCCGACACTGAGAGTTCCGGGATTGGGGAGGAGCCGCTCCCGGGACCCGTCCCACCGGAGCCGTGGGCGGGGAGCGGCGGGGCCGCTGCGTGGGGCCGCGGGGATCCCCCCACGCCCACGGGCGGTCCCGGGGCGGGCCCAGCCGCCGCCGTGCGCCCCGTCGGGGGGGGCCGTGCCCGCAGCCCGGCCCGGCCCGGCCCGGCTCCTCCCGAGGAGGCGGCGCCGTCCCGGGGCCGCGCTCGGCTCCGCAGCCCCGCGGGGCCGCCCGGCTCGGCCGCCCCGGTGAGTACGCGGGGGCGCGGGGGGTGTCCGTCCGTCCGTCCGTCCGTCCCTCGGGGGTCCCGGTGCCCGGGGGTGGAGAGGGATGTGCGGGCAGGTCCCGCCACTGTGTCCCCGAGTCCCCACTGTGTCCCCGAGTCCCCACTGTGTCCCCGAGTCCCCACTGTGTCCCCGAGTTTCCACTGTGTCCCCGAGTCCCCGGATCCTCGCGTGTGCCAAGTCCCCGTGTCCCCAGGTCCCCGCGCCTCCTGGCATCGCCCGTCCCCGCCGCTCGCCCCGCGGGTGCCAGGCGGCGCCGCCAGACACCGCGGGCACAAAGACATCGCTGTGCGGCGGGGACAGAGCCCGAGGGAGCGGGGACACAGGTGGGGAGCGGGGGGCCGAGGAGGGGAGCAGGGGGTGGAGAGGGGGAGAACAGACAGAGCTGGGGACAGGGATGGAGAAGGGGTGCAGGACACGAAGGGGAGGTGCAGGGACTGGAGAAGGGGTGCAGGGAGAAAAGGAGCATAAGGGAGAGGTGGGGTGCAGTGTCTAAAGAAGGGGTGCAGGGTCCACAGAAGAGGTTCGGGGCTGTCGGGGGTCTGGGGTGGGTGCCCAGCTGCCTGTGGGGGTCCCCGGGCTGCCCAGGGACGCTGAGCGGGGCTGAGCATGGGGAGGGGGTTTGGGGTTTGGGGTTTCCTCCCGGCGCTGGAAGCCCAGCCCAGGAAATTCTTCCGGGCAGCCTCTCAAGCCCCTCTTTGTGCTCTTGGGATTTTTAACATTCCCGGCGGCTGCGGCCGGGGTGCCGGTGCCGGCCGGGGTGCCCGGTTCCAGATGGGCTGCCCAGCTCCCCCAGGCTGTGCCGGGATGGGTGGGATGGGGTCTGGTGTGGATTTAGGGGGTGCAGCTGCTCATTCCCACCCATCCCATCGGAGCCCAGGGCTGCGCCGCTCACCGGGGTGCCACGGGGACCCTGTGCCACCCCCGGGGGATCCTCAGCGTCCTTCACCGCTGTGGATTTGCTGCAGGATGAAGGACTGGGGCTGCTGGTCCTCGCTGGGTGTCGGGCGCTGCTGTGGTGCAGCAGAACCCGTCCCTCGCTGCCACATCCTCCCCTCCAAACCCCACTGGCTCGGCTCTGCCAGGCCACAGCGCCGGCCTTGCTGCCAAGGCTTCACCAATTTCCTGCCTTGCTCCAGCTCCTGGGAACGACCTTGGCTGTCTCAGCTGCACCGCCGGGTGCCTGGGACCCCCGGGGAGGAAGCCGCCAGCCCTGGGGGACAAGAGGAAGAGGCGGTGGCTGCTGACACCCTGCGAGGACCTGGGTCCCCTCCCCGGAAGGAAAGCGCTGCGGGCGCTGGGGACCCTCGGGGTGCAGCGGGGACAGGGAGGCCCTCGTTGTGCGGTCTGTGGGTAGGAGGAGGGGGGGTCCCCTCTGCCTCATTCCCTCGGCACCCGGGATCGCTGACACCTCGCTCCTGCCCGCCCAGAGCCGCCGCTGCCATGCCGGTGACAGTGACAGTGACACTGCCCGGCCCGGCCCCGTGGGGCTTCCGCATCTCCGGGGGCAGAGATTTCAGGAAGCCCATCACCGTCTCCAAGGTAGGAGCCGCCCCCCGTGTCCCCCGGGCCGGGGAGAGCCGCCGGGGCTCGGGGCTGCCCAGGGGAGTGGATCCTGTTTGCCGTCCTTGGGGGATCCCGCGGCCCCTGGGCTGGGCTGGGCCGGGCCAAATTCCCGGGTGCTGTTCCCAAGGCCGTGGTCCCCTCCTGGCAGAGGGGCTGGTGCTGCTCTGGCAGGGCCCTGGCGATTCCACAGGGTGGGAACACCCCATGGCAGCAGGGCGGGGTTCGGGGGATTCTGCACTGCACGGGGGGGGTCACCGGCCCTGTCCCATGTCCCCTTCTCCGCGGAGGTGACGGAGCACGGGAAGGCGGCCGCGGGTGATCTCCGGCCGGGGGATGTCATTGTCACCATCAATGGGGAGAGCACGGCTGAGATGCTCAACGTGGAAGCGCAGAACAAGATCAAGCAGAGCCCGGGGCAGCTCCGGCTGGAGGTGGAGAGGTGGGTGCTGGGGCAGCCCTGGGTGCCAGAGGTGTCTGGGGGTCCCCAAGCACGTGCGTGTCACTTGTTCCCCCCCTCGGTGACTCTTGGGGCGGTGCCATCCCCACGGGAGCCTGTCCCGGCTCTCTAATTAAGGAGTCGGGTGCTAACGAGGCCTGGCAGCGCTGGCAGCCGTTACCCGGCCAACTGCTCCCAGTTGGGACCCAGCTGCTGCCTCTGCGGCTCCGGGGCTGCAGGGAAGGGTCACCGTGCTGTGCACAGCGGCTGGGGGCTCCTGGGGCAGATCCCAAACGCTGCTGCTCTCCCTTGGCCCTCAGGTCCCCAGTGCCATATCCCAGCCACACCAACGGGGACGCCTCGCTGGAGGGGTTGGCCACGCGTTTCCAGGTGAGCCCCGGGCAGCCCCCGCACACTCCAGCCCCACAGCCAGGGCTGGTGGCAGCTGCTGGTGTCACCCTCCCCTCCCCAGGACACGCTGCAGATGCCGAGTGAGAGCCAAAGTGCCCTGAGGACCCTCGACCCCAGCGTGGCATCCCTCAGTGCCAGGTAAGGCTGCACCGGGCTGTGTGTGGGGCTGGGGGTGAGGAGGGGGCTGGGGAGGGCCCGGGACCCCCCTGATGGCTCCGTTCTCTCCCCCAGCTCACAGCCCTTGGAGCAGGAGCTCACCTGTCCCGGCCTCCCCCAGGTGAGTGGGGGCTGCAGGGGTCAGGCAGAGATGCTGGGGGAGCATCTGTGCTCCAAAACCTTTTGAACCCGAAACCCATCCCGCTCTGAACCCCCAAACCTCCCTGCTTTGAACCACCAAACCTTGCCCCTTTGCAATGCTGAACCTTCCCCCCTTGAACCCCCAGATCACCTCATTTTGAGCCCCCAAACCACCCTCCCCTGAGCCCCAAAACAGCCCCACTCTGAGCCCCCAAACCACTCCCTCCGCCGCCCCACGGCCCCATCCCTGCCAGCCCCGCTGTCCCCGCTGTCCCCGTCTGTGGTGGCTGTCGCGGGTGTCCCCTCCCCGCCGCGCTGGCAGCGCCCCCGGCCCCGCGGGCACCGCCGCACCTGCCCAGGGATGTTTTGCTCCTCTTGGCAGCGGCGCCAGCCCGGGGAGGCCAAACCAGTTTGGGAAGGCGCAGCCCCGCTGCCGCCAGCCCGGGGCACTGGGGTGTTGGCCGGGCAGGGACCCGCGGCCCGGAGCGCCCCGGCCGCCGTGGGACACCCCGGGAGTGGGATCGGGATGCGCCGGGAGTGGGAGCGAGACGCCCGGGGGGTGTCTGGATGCCTCCTCCAGCCCCGAGCTCAGTGCCAGGATGCCCGCGGCCGCCCCATCCTCCCTGCGGGCAGCCGCTGGCTCCGGGCTTGGCGTCTCCCTCCTTTCCTCCCTCCCCGCTTTCTCTTTTTCTTGTTTTTCAAGCCCAAATTGGGAAGCGCCGCGGCCCCGAGCGCGGCCCTTCCCAGCTGCCTTTGGCCGCAGCCCCGGCCGCCCCTTGGCTCCTCCGGCCGCCCGCTCCCTCCTTCCTCCCCAGCTCCTGGTTTGCTTTGCTGCCGGCTCCGAAGGGTCCCTCCCTGTCCCACAGGGTCCATCCCTGCCCCGGAGGGTCCTCAGGGTTGTGGCCATGAGGGTGCCGTGCCCGAGCCCCCACCCAAGGCGCTGTGCCCCAGGGATGGTGAGGGGATGGCTGCCCTTGGGTCCATCCCACTCTTCCTCGCATCCTGGCTCTGGAAGCCGCCAGGGATGAGGCCAAGGCCCGGCTCCTCCCGTGCCTAATTTTAGCTCATCCTTCGTGACCCCACAAAGCCTCGGCGCTGCCCCTTCTCCCTCCCCACGGGTGCGGCCAGGGGGTCCCCGTGCCCGGTGCCCACCCCGGGGTCCCGCGGGGATTCGCTCCCATCTGCGTGGCAGCTGCTCCCGGGAACATCGGGAACGAACATCGGGAACGAACATCGGGAACGAACATCGGGAACATCGGCTTCCACTTAGCCGGGGAGGGCTCCGCTTCCCGGCCCCGCTAAGCAGGAGCAGATGAGGGGAGGGGACGGGCGCAGGCGCTGGGTTATGGGGTGGGGGCGCTGCCCTGGCTCCTCTGGGGGGTCCCACCGGCCCCGTCCTGGGTGGGAAGGAGAAGCAGCAGCCCCACGGAGCATCCCTGTGGAGATCTGGGCTTGGGGAAAGCCCCTGGGGCTGTCCGGGTGTCCTTGGGGTGCCCGGGGGGTCAGGGAGGCTCTGTGCCCCCCCAGGACATCCCTCCCTCCTCCCCCTGCCAGGAGCGACGCCTGAGCCGCCAGAGCAGCTCCCAGGGGCCCGTCCTGCCTCCCCCACCCCGGCCACCCTCACCGGAGCTCGGAGCCCCCCAAACCCCGTGGGCAGCCCCCGGGGGGAGGCGCCTCTCGTCCCCCTGCGCCAGCACCTGCCTCAGGTACGGAGCGGGCCGGGGGCTCTTTGGGGGGACCCCGCGGCAGGGCAGCCCCCAGCCCCGTGTCCCCACGCGGGTTCGTCACCCGTGGGTGCCCGTGGAAAGGGTTAACTTCACCTGCAGGCAGGTGGGGCCGTGGGAGGGCCGGGCAGGCTGGGGCAGCTCCCGGGGTGGAGGGAGCAGGTGGCGGACGGGCTGTGGGGTGCAGCCGGGGTGGATCCCGGAATCCGAGCGCTGGGAACCCCCCCAAAATCTCCCCTCGGGCCGCGCCCCCCCAGCCAGGGCTCGGAGCCGGCCATGAGGCGCTTGGAGGAGGACTCGGAGGTTTACAAGATGCTGCAGGAGAACCGGGAGCTGCGGGCGGCCCCGCGGCAATCCAGCACCTTCCGCCTGCTCCAGGAGGCGCTGGAGGATGAGGAAGGAGGTGAGGGGGGCACGGAGGGCGGGGGCAGGCCTGGCACGGGGGTGGCAGGGCTCTGATGGCCTCGTGTCCCCTCAGGAGGTCCCGCAGGGCCCTTCCCCAGCCGCCTCTCGGCCGGGGCCCGCAGGCCCGTGGCCGGGGTGCAGAAGCTGCACGTCTGTGAGAAGTGCGGGAGCAGCATCGCGTGAGTGGGGCTGGGGGCTCGGGGGGTCCCGGGGCTGGGTCTGTCCCTGCTAAGCAAAGGCAGAAAGGGGCTGCTCTCAGGCGCGGGGCAGGATCCGTGCTTGACATTGCTCCCGGCAGGGATAAAATAATCCGGGGTGTGGCTGGGGCAGGATCCTCCCCTGCTGTCACCGCCGGAGGGGATAAAATGGGGCGGATTGTGGGGTGGGAATGGGGCTGGGGGCCCAGGGCAGGATCCATCCCAACCATTGCTCCTTTAGGGTGAAAATGGGGGCGGTCCCGGGGTATGAGTGGGGTCAGTGTGGTCCCAGGGCAGGATCCATCCCTACCATTGTTCCTTTAGTGTGAAAATGGGGGTGTCCTGGGGTGTGAGTGGTCCCAAAGCAGGATCCATCCCTGCCATTGCTCCTTTAGTGTGAAAATGGGGGTGTCCTGGGCTGTGAGTGGTCCCAAAGCAGGATCCATCCCTGCCATTGCTCCTGTAGGGTGAAAATGGGGCTGTCCTGGGCTGTGAGTGGTCTCAGGGCAGAATCCATCCCTGCCATTGCTCCTGTAGGGTGAAAATGGGGGTGTGAGTGGGGTCAGGGTGGTCCCAGGGCAGAATCCATCCCGACCATTGCTCCTTCAGAGTGAAAATGGGGCTGTCCTGGGCTGTGAGTGGTCCCACGGCAGGATCCATCCCGACCATTGTTCCTTTAGGGTGAAAATGGGGCTGTCCTGGGGTGTGAGTGGGGCCAGGGCAGGATCCATCCTCACCATTGCTCCTTCAGGGTGAAAATGGGGGCGGTCCCGGGGTGTGAGTGGTCCCAAAGCAGGATCTATCCCTACTATTGCTCCTTCAGGGTGAAAATGGGGGCTGTCCTGGGCTGTGAGTGGGGCCACGGCAGGATCCATCCCTGCCATTGCTTCTTTAGGGTGAAAATGGGGGTGTGAGTGGGGTCAGGGTGGTCCCAGGGCAGGATCTGTCCCTGCCATCGCTCCAGGGCCAGGATGGGGCTGACCCCGGCTGGGAGGGGACCCTGGGGACACACGGGGTGGCTCTGCTGACCGCCTGTCCCCACCCCCGCAGGACACAGGCGGTGCGGATCCAGGACGGCCGCTACCGGCACCCGTCCTGCTACACCTGCGCCGACTGCGGCCTCAGCCTGAAGATGCGCGGCCACTTCTGGGTGGGGGACGAGCTGTTCTGCGAGAAACACGCCCGCCTGCGCTACCAGGGCCCCCCGGGGGCGCCCGTGCCCCGGCCCGTGTCCCCCCCCGTGTCCCCCCGCTCCTGAGCCCCGGCGGGGTCACCCCGGGGCTGTCCCACCCCACCGGGCTGGGGATGGATGGGATTTGGGGGGGATGCGCTGCCGCCGCCCATCTTCACCCCTTTGTGGCTGTGTGCGATGAGCTGGGGGAGTTCTCAGCCTGGGGGACACCGGGGGACATCGGGGCGGGGTCGCTTGAGCACTTGGGTACCGAGAGGGGCTGGCACCGCTTGTGCACTGACTGCAAAGGGCTTCTCCGAGGAATTAAACCAGATTCTTTTCAAATATAATATATATTTACTCCACTGCCGTGTCTGCTCTGTGCCAGGACCCCAGGGCAGGGGGAAGGAGGGTTCGACCCCAAACCCGGGGTGCAGACAGGGACCCCCCAGACCCCTCAGCGCTGCCGCCTGCGCCCGGGGCGGGGGTGCGGGTGCTCCGGTGCCGCTCCTTGTCCTGCTCCCAGAAGGTCAGGGCTGCCCTCGGGGCTGGCTGGCCCCTCCCTGCGTCCCTGGGAGGTGGCCGGGTTTATTGGGGGCTATTGGTCGAGGCCTTTGTCCTGCTCCAGGTGCTCTTATCGCCGCTCCCCGCCCTCCGTGCCCGCCTGCACGGAGATGGCTTTGCTGTTATCTGGGCTGTGCTGTTATCTGAGATTCGGTGTTATCTGGGATTCGCTGTTATCAGCGGCCTGGGAGAGACCTGTCCCTTCCCCTGTCCCTTCCCCTGTCCCTTCCCCTGTCCCTCTGCAGCGGGGACAGCCAGGACCTCCCATCCCCTCCTGCCTGGGGTCTCACGGGGTCTGTTTGGGCTGTGCCACGGCCCCTCGTGCACCCCGGGCTCGGTCATGGGGCTCTCACCATCGAATTCCCAATTAATCATCCCATCATCGGATTCCCAATTAATCATCCCAGAGCAGCTGGGGCTGCCCCTGGACCCCCTGGCAGTGCCCAAGGCCAGGATGGAAGGGGCTGGGAGCAGCCTGGGACAGTGGAAGGTGTCCCTGCCATGGCAGGGGTGGCACTGGATGGGCTTTAAGGTCCCCAGGCAACCATTCCATGGCTCTGTGACACCCAGGGAGGGCGGAGGATTATGATGATGATGATGATGATGATGGTCCTGCCTTTCTCCCGCTCTCTCCACACAGGAAAAAGAGGAATAAACTCTTTAAGCCCTCCTGGGATAACCCAGTTGAGGCTGGGGGCGAAGGGGCTGCCCGGGCAGGGGGCGGCCCCGCACCCCCGCCCCGCCCCGGGGCTGTGCCGCCCCCCGGCCCTGCCCCATAAAGCGGCGGAGGAGCAGCCCCGCTGCTCCCTGCTCTGTTTGTTCCCGGTGCTCCCGGCCCGTTCCCGGTTTCTCCCCATCGCTCCCGGTACATCCCGAGGATGCTGCGCCGCCGCGGAGCCTTCACGGTGCAGCCGCTCCGTGCTGACCCCGGTGAGTCGGTGGAGCCCCCCCCGCGTCTGGCTGGGCTGGGGCTCCCTCGGGATCTCCGGCCCCTGAGATCCCCTCAGGGATCTCTGCTTTGAGGTGTCTGTGCTGGAGAGGGAAACTGAGGTCCTTGGAACCCCGGTTTGTGTTGTCTGTGCTGGAGAAGGGACCTGGGGGTTCCCCGGACTCCCCAGTTTGTGCTAAAGGGGGTCCCTGGAGCCCTGGTTTTCATCCACTCCCTGCTGGGAGGGGCCCAGGCTACCGGCCGTGCTGGGAATTCAGGTATTCCCGAATTCCCATGTTTGGGCTGATGGGCCCCTGCCCGTCCCCAAATGCGGCGTGGGGGTCCCCAGACCCCAGCTCCCACCTCCGTGTGTGCCACAGCTGTGCCGGGACCTCTCCTGCGAGGTACCAGGGCTGAGATGGAGCTGCCAACGTGGGGGACACCCCCAGGAGGAGCTGATGGGGACCCCCACGCCCCTTCTCGCCCTGCCAGTGCCCCCCACCCCCGTAGGGCTGCGGTGACACCCCCGTGGTGCTGCGCCTCGGCACGTGGGGTCCTGGAGCCCGTGGAATTGCGGCGTGTGGGAAGTGGGATGCTGGCAGTGGCCAGGGAGCTGCGGTGGAGGGGCTGCCCCCCGGAATTCCTGGGATTCAATGCTGCTGGGGCGGACGGGCTGCTCCCGGCATTGCTGCCATTCAATCCCGCTGAACGGCCGGGTTGTCCCGGGCTGGCCGTGGCTTCCCGGCCCTCCTCGGCCTCTCCAGCCCCCGAGGGATGCACGGTGAGTGCTGTGGCTGCAGGAGGGGCAGGAATTCGGGAGCACCGGGACCCCCGAGCGGTGAATTCAGCCCACGCTGGAGCCCCGAGTGAGTTTTCTGGAATCCGGTGGGATGCAGGCGGCACCTGGCTGCCTGCCGGCGCCCAAAGCCTCTCGCCTTCCCAGCTGGGGTGGGAAGGGACTCCTTAACCACCGGCCCAGCCAGTATCGCCCATCCCAAACCCTGCGAGGAACCAGTTGGGAACCGGTCCTGTAATGAGGCGCTCTGGATGCAGGGCCCGGCTGGGGTGGCTTTAAAAGGCAGCGCCGGGACGCGCGCCCGGCTCTGGCTCTGGCTCTCGGCGATGTGGGGTGGCTCCCGCGCCGTCTGGAAGAGGAGGCTCAGCTGCTGTGAGTGCGTCCGAGGGGGGTGGCAAGGCCCCGAGCGGGGCTTTGGGGGGTGGGCAGCCTGCAGGAGGTGCCAGAGCTCCGCTGTCGCCCAACCGAGCCCGCGGCCTGGCTGGGAAGGGAGCGAGTGCTGGGCAAGGAGTGCCGAGATTGCCATGGATGCAGCACGGTCCCACCTGCAGCTGCGGGGTGCTGGGGGCACATCCCGGCTGGCCATGCCACCCACCCCATGGGGACAAGTTGGTGGCCCTGGAGCCGTCCCAGGTCTGGGATCCCACGGCTGTGCTCTGTTCTGGGCTGCCAGCACAGAGCTGGAGTGGGACACAGGAAGAACCTGGCTCAAAAGCCTGCCCAGGTCAGGGTGGGGGTCGTGGGTGCCCCCCCAGCAGCTCAGCTTGGGAGGAGGGGGAGGATGGTGGAGGCCAGGGCCGTGGTTTTGGGGAGTAGAGACAACACACTGGGGTTGTAGGAGAGTATGGACTGCTGGGCAAGGGGGAGAGCGGCCTTGGGCACGGCCGGAGCTGCTCTGGCACCCAGTTTTCTGCCCAGGGACCCCCCCAGCTGAGCCCACCCATCCTCCCTTCCCCCTCAGATGGTCCCTGGGACTCGGCCGAGAGCTGCATCGTGCGCACCTCCGCCAGCGTCTACCGCCGGCTGCAGGAGAGCCCGCGGCAGCCCCGGCGGGGAATGAGCAGCCGGGAACCCCCCAGCAGCCCCCCGGCCGTCGGGAGGCTCCTCAAGTCCGAGTCTGAGGATTCCGGCGTGGAGATGGCCAGCAACGAGCACTCGCCCTGCGCCCCGCTGGGCTCCGAGAGCCGCTTCTCCCTGGACGCTTTTTCGGGGGAGCAGCGCCCCGGAGAGGAGCAGCGCCCCGGAGAGGAGCAGCCCCCCCGGAGCCGCTCTGCCAGCCGGAGGCTGCTGCAGGCAGCGCAGCGGAGCAGGAGGCAGCGCTGCCCGCGACAGCTCAGCCGGCGCAGCGCCAGCGCCGCCGACCTGGTCGAGCCCCCCCGGGACCCCGAGGAGACCGAGGGGGCTGCGGAGGGGCCTCCTCGGGACCCCCGGGCCGTGCCCGAGGTGTCGGGGCAGGGGCTGCGCTACCTGGAGCACGTGTGCCAGATGCTGGAGCGCCTGGCGCGGCTGCAGCAGGACAACCGCGCCCTCCGGCAGCAGGCGGCCGTGGCCCGCACGGCCACCCTGGTGAGGGCCCGGAGGAGGGGGATGCGCGGGGAGGGGCTGTGGGGGTCCCAGCTCACGCCCTGCCTGTCCTCTGCTCGCCCCCAGCCCAGCCGGCAGCACCCGAGGCAGGATTTGGGCACCTGGAGGGGTGAGGGGTTCCGGCAGCGCTCCTGCTCCGACAGCCAGGCGCCAGGTGAGAGGGGTGGGCTCGGGAATGACGGGACCTGGGGCCAGGTGAGAGGGGTGGGCTCGGGAGAGACGGGACCTGGGGCCAGGTGAGCATTGGGGGATGCGGGAATGACGGGATCTGGGGCCGGGTGAGCACTGGGGGTGCAGGAATGGCAGCACCGGTGCCAGGTGAGCACTGGGGGATGAGGGAATGGCAGCACCGGTGCCAGGTGAGCACTGGGGGATGAGGGAATGGCAGCACCGGTGCCAGGTGAGCACTGGGGGATGAGGGAATGGCAGCACCGGTGCCAGGTGAGCGGGGTGGGATGGCGGGACCTGGCACCAGGTGAGGGGGGCAGCACGTGGGATGGCAGCACGATGCCCCCCCGGCCCTCAAGCCTGACCGGCTTTGTTCCCCCTCGCAGCAGCCGAGCCCGGGCCGTGCCGGCGGTTGTGGGGACACTCGGTCAGCTCCCCCAGCCTGCTGGAGCCCGCCGAGGGCGGCGGGGCTGTCCCGGCACCGGACAAGGTACGGCCGGGGGGTGTCCCTGGGGGTGTCCCTGGGGGTATCCCTGGGGTGCCTTGGGGGTATCCCTGGGGTGCCGGGGGGGGGTCCCTGGGGTGCCCCTGCTGATCACCCCCGTCCCACAGGCCGGGTGAAGGTGCCTTGGGGGGGTCGGGGGGTCCCTGGGGTGCCCCTGCTGATCCCCCCCCGTGTACAGGCCGGGTGAAGGTGCCTTGGGGGGGTTCCTGGGGTGTCGGGGGGGGTCCCTGGGGTGCCCCCGCTGATCCCCCCCTGTCCCGCAGGACGGGCGCTCGCACTGGGGCCGGGTGAAGGTGCTGCTCACCCGCCTCACCCGCCGCTCCCTGCGCGGCGGCCGCTGCAGGTAGGACGGGGGGGTCCCGCTCCCACCGCCACACCTGGATGGAGGAACTGCGTCACACCTCACCCCATGACGTCACGTCAGCTCGGGGCCGGTCCCCGGCCTGGCGCACCCCTTCACTTTTTTTTTTCCCCCAATAAAGTCTTTTCACCCATAAAGAGGCGGCTCTGAGCGAGGTGCTTGCTGTCGCGCCGTGACGTCACGCCCCTAAACCTGGCGTGACGTCACGCGAGGGCGCGTCACTGCCGCATCACTTCCGACGGCTTTTCCGCCCCTTTTGTCCCACCGGGCCCGGACCCACGGACGGCCCGAGCGGCTGCCGCGCCCCCATCCCTGGGTATCCCCGGGCCCCCCCATCCCTGGGTATCCCCGGGCTCCCCCCATCCCTGGGTATCCCCGGGGCCCCCCCTCCCCTGGGTATCCCCGGGGCCCCCCCATCCCTGGGTATCCCCGGGCTCCCCCTCCCCTGGGTATCCCCGGGCCCCCCCATCCCTGGGTACCTCGGGCCCCCTCCCCGCTCAGCCCCGGAGGGTCTCGCTGCCTGGGGGGGGTGGGGGTGAAGCTCGTCCGACCCCCGGAGCCCCCCGGCCCCTCCGGCTGCCCCGCGGGGGTTGGTGGGGAGGGGGCGCCGGGGTCCCCGCTCGGGGTGGATGATGGGATGATGCTCCGGGAGCATCGCGGCTTTCTCGCGGGGGGCTCCCCAGTTTGGGGGGTAGAGGAGGAGGGTGAGGATGAGGAGGGGGTTCGATGCTGTTCTGGCGCCGCCGGCTCTGCGCGGGACGGTGAGGAAGACGCTGCCTGTGCCGCAGGTGAGGAAGATGCTGCTCCGAGCCGCGGCCAGGCGCTCTCCCATCAGGTATCCCGCTCTTCCTCCCTTTCCCCCCTTCCCTGCCGATTTCCTGCCGTCACTTGGGGTTTGTTCCTTCCCAGCGGGGGCTCCCGCAGCTCCTCCCGGCACCGCTCCCGCCTGGCCGCCCTGGGCTCATCCTGGAGCCGCAGCTCCCGCATCCCAGCGCTCCTTCCCCGAACCGTGAGTGCTCGTCCCTGCCGTGCCCGGGCTCGTGGCAGGGCCTGGGGGACAGGGGGTCCCGGCAGTGCCCCCCGGCTGGGTCACAGCCTGACCGGGGCTGCTGAAGGGTTTCTGGAGCACAGCTGGGGGTGGGGGGTGTTTGATCCTTGTCCCTCCCCTTCCAGCATCAAACCCCTTCCCATGGCCCCCCCTCTGCTCTCCTGAGCCCCCCGGGGTGAGGAGCAATGGGGAGGGGCTCGGGGAGGGGGTCTGGGCACCCCCTGCCCTGCTGCCCCTCTGCCACCTCCATCCTCCCCCTCACTGTGACCCCGTGGCTGATCCCTGTGGCTGAGGCTGGTGCAGGGGATGCTGATTCTCCTTACAGGGCCCAGGTGAGGAGGAGGAAGGAGGTCTGAGCCTCCCTGTGCCACCCCAGAATCATCTGGAACGAGGGGAAGCTCCCGAGCAGCTGACAAGGAACATCCAGGTGTGGATCCAGATGTGTGCTGGTGTTGGCAGGCCTGGAGAGGGTTAATTCATCCTATGTGAGGAAAATCCTTGGGATTGGTGGTGGGCTGGCACCTGCTGAACCTGTCCCGAGGGGATTTGGGGAGGAAAGGGGACAACCCCTGGGCTAACCCAGGAATTCCTGAGGAAAAAGGAGGAAGATCTGCTGAGCAGCAGGGAATGCTCCCCATGCTGGGATGGCCCCTCACGGATCCTCCTGGGGTGCTGCTTCCCTCTCCTCTGCCCCTGAGTGCTGGGGAACCTCACCCAGGGGTGCCTCAGCCCCCGAGGCTGAGCACGTTCCTCATTGTAGAGGAGTTTTCCCTTCCTGCCAGCTCTCCCTATTAACGCTGGGATCTTGTGGGCGGTGCAAAACCCGCTAATTATCCACTTTTTACTATAAAAGATGGAATTCTCCTCCCCAACCACTGCAGAGAGTAGGCAGAGTGAATCCCTGGGAACGCCTGGCTTTGAGTTTCCATGGGTGCCATCCCTCTCCTGAGTGCTGGGAGAGCAGCAGGAGCTGATGGCAGGGAGCAGAGCTGGGACTGGAGCTGCTCTGGGTGCAGGACAGGTGGGGTGCTGGGGATGAGGTGGCTGGGGAGGTCTGGCTGTGCCACACAGGGTGACAGTGATGCAGACAAAGCCACCAGGTGGGTTCAGGTAAGCCCAGGTGGGCTTGAATCTGGGGAGGAATCAACACCTCCAGGCCACAGAGGGATCTTTGCCCATTTGAGAGCCACCCTGAGGTCTGCAGGGCTCAGATCCCGTGTCCCTTGCTTGGGCTCACGGGCTGTGTGTGTGGCTGTTAAATATATTTATAAATATCTATATTCTGTATATTTAGCATCCCTGCTCTGGGTAACCGTGGCAACTGGGTTTATTTTGCTTAAACCTGGCCTGGCATGTGATGCGGTTGGGAAGGAACAGCCAAGGGGAGAGGGAGGGATGAAGTTCTCCATGCTGGGAGCTGGGGAGGAGCCTTGGCACAGGATGCACTTGGGGGGGACCTCGCTGTGTCCCTGCACTGGGGACAGCCACCAGCATTCCCACGGCTCTGCTCCATCCCCTTTGCTCCAGCTGGGCAGGGAAGCTTTGTTTTTTAGGGGTTCCATCCCCATTTTCTGCTGGGCTTGCCAGGACACCCCTGAGCCCTGTTCCCTGTCTCGTGCAGGTTTGCCAAGGCCAGGTCCTGGCAGGAAGATGTTTTGGTTTTCCTGGTGTCTGGAGCAGCAGGAGCCTCGTGCCACCCCGAGGCAGAGAAGGGACCTTCGTCATGTCCACCAGAACCTCTCCAGGGTGGGCTCCCAACCCCTCATCCCAGGCAGCATCTGCTCACCCCAGGACACAGCAGGCAGCCTCTCCTGATCCTTAAAGGCCCAAACTGCCTCTGTCGTGCTGGAAATCTCCATTCCTCGTGCTTTGAGGCCGTTTCCTTCCCGCGCCGATGTTCGATCCCAGTTTTCCCTTCCAGGGACACCGCGAGCCCCCCGTGTCCCCCTGCAGTGGCGGCCGGGCGCCGGCAGAGGGCGACAGCGGCCCGGCGGTGACACCGGCACGGCCCCGGCGGTGACAGCGACACCGGTACGGCCCCGGAGGTGGCACCGACACAGTCCCGGCGGAGACAGAGACAGCGACACGGCCCCGGAGGTGACACCGGCACCGACACGGCTCCGGCAGTGACAGCAACGCGGCCCCGGCGATGGCACCGACACGGCCCCGGCCGTGCTGTGCTGCTGAAAACTTTATTGGGGACACGGCACGGAGTCCCTGCAGCCCTTCCCACACACCGAGGAGGGGCTGAAGCTCCCCCAGTTGTCCATAGGTTTGCTCCTGGCTGGGTTGTCTCCCTTAGGGATGTCCCCACCTGTCCCTGCTCTGGGGTCCCCTGTCCCCACCCTGCACCCCCCAGATCTGGGGCACAGGCTCTTTGGAGCATTCCTGGGAAAAGAGGGATGGATGCTCACCATGAGAAGCATCACCCTCTCCCTGTACCTCAAAAAATGGGATTTGATTGATTTTCCCCTCCCCTGAGGGGCCACTGGGCTACTAAGGCACAAAATGAGGGGAAGGAGTGGGAGGGTCTCACCCTCTGGGCTCTCGGGGTGCCAAGGGAGGCTGGAACCTGGCAAAATCCAGCCCCCCACATCCCACTCCCCATCTTTAGTATTGCTCCCTTTCCTGCTCCTCCACACCCCAAACTTTAAGGCAAAACCCATTCGTGGACTGACAAATACGATGCAGAGCCATGGGGTGACGGGAGCAGCTCCAGCCCCTCAAGTCCATCCCTGGGAGGGCAGCTGGGCTGAAACAGGGGGGGGATCCCCATCCCCATCCCCTCCCCATGCCCAGCCTGGCCTCAGTCGTCAGCCACGATGGAGAGGGCGCGGAGCTCGCTGAGCTTGGCGTCGTTCTCGCGCTCGCGCTGCTCGTCGCTCAGCCCGGGCCGGTCGATCTGCGCCGTCAGGTCCCCAAAAATCTTGTGCATCTCCGTGTAGTAGACAACCTGTTGGATAAAGGGGGATTGGAGAGGGAGGGGAACGGGGGTCTCCTCCCCAGCCCACCCACCCCCCCGCGGGTGCCCTCGCAGCCCCTCTCCGCGGCGTTGGTGTCTGAAATAGCTCCCGCCCACGTGGCCGTGCCGCCCCCTCGGATTATTACAACTCAACACATTTTAATAACGCGCTGCCCTTCTCCGCTCGCTTCCCATCTGGGAGCCGCGCGTGCGGGGCTGCCACCGGCACCGCCACCCTCCCGCGGCCGCCTCGTCCCCTGCTTTGGCACCGGTGCCACCGGCACGGGCCGCCAGCCCACGCTGCCCGCGGCGCGGCGGGCACGGCCAGGGGCTCGCTGGGCTCGGCGAAGGGGGCAGCGCCGTGCCCCGTGCGAAGCACGGCGAGGAGGAGGAGGAGGAGGAGGAGGGGGGGGGGTGTGTTAATAACGTGCTAATTAGCACCGCCAATTATCTCCGGCAGCGAGCAGCGCTTGCCGGCGCGGGAGCCCGTGGGTCAGCGCAGGCAGATGGCAGCGGGGTGGCTGCTCGGGCTCCAGCGGGGAGAGGGGAGCTCCCAGCCCTGCCTGCGAGACCCTCGGCGCTGCGGGACCCCCAGCCCTGCCTGTGGGACCCCCAGCCCTCACTGTGGGACCCCCGAGTGCTGCCTGGGGCACACCTGGGGCTGCGGGAGGCCCAGTGCTGCCTGTGAGACCCCCGGCACTACAGAACCTCTGGACACCACAGAACCCCTTGCATTGCAGGACCCCTGGGTGCCACAGGACCCTCAGAGCCTCCCTGGAAGCCCTGGCACTGCAGGGCCCCTGGTGCTGTGCCAGGTGTGGGATCCTGTCCTGGATATCCCCCCAGAGCCCTCAGGGAGCGATTGAGGAGTGCAGCCCCCCAGGGTGGGCAATGCCAGCGCTGTCCCCATTTCCCAGAAGGGCCCCAGCATCTCCAGCAGCACCAATGCTGAGACATGCATGGTCTCCATGGAGACCAGCTCCCCTAATCCTGCTCTAAACGATGCTGATTTTGGGAGGCCCGAGGGGGTCTGGTGGGCCCCACAGTGCAGTGCTGGCTGCCTGAACCCCCCTTGCCAGGCCTGGCCACGCTGGGGGCCCGGGGGCTGCTCCGTGGCCGGGGCTCCCCACGCAGCGGGGCTGGCTGAGTCACAGCAATGCTCATTTACACAGTGACTAACGAACCCCACACAGGGCTGAGCTGGCAGGGCCCCCCAAAATCCCTGCACGCCCGCCCAAAGCACAACCCACAGCTGGGTCACCCTGAACATCCTCTGAACCCCTCTGCCAGCAAGAGATGCCAAGAACACCCAAAATGCCTCGGCAATGCCACAGGTGAGCGGGGATCTGGGGGGCAGGGGTGCCAAGGGGGGTGCCAGAGCCCTGGAGCAGCCCTCCATGTCCCTTGTCCCCAGCCTGGAGTCAGCTGGGCTCTGCTCAATCACATATGGCCAAGTGGCACTGCCAATTCCAGCACGGAAAAAGCTGAATCTTGTCAGGGTGGCAGGCCTGGAGGCAGATGCTGCCCCCAGGATTGTCCCCAGGGTTGTTCCCCAAGATCTGGGGACATCTGTCCCTCAGGATTGGTCCCAGGATTGCTCTCAGGATTGTTCCCCAGGATTTGGGGACAATTGTCCCCCAGGATTGGATCAGGAATTAACCCCCCCCACCAGGATCCAGAAATCCCTGAGGATTCCTGCAGGACTAGGATTGTGCCTTAGGATTTTCCTCAGGATTGTCCCCAGGATTGCCCCTCAGGATTGAGCCCAGAATTGTCCCCAGTGAACTGACCCCCAGAAGTGTCCCCAGTGGATTGACCCTCAGGATTGTCCCCAGTGGATTGAGCCCAGAATTGTCCCCAGTGGATTGACCCTCAGGATTGTCCCCAATGGATTGACCCTCAGGATTGTCCCCAGGACTGTCCCCCAGCATCCACACTGCACTGAACAGGCAGAGCAGAGTGAACTCCTTGGTGCTGCTCCCCCTCCACCCACATCCCGCAGCCACTGATCCCTTCCCCAGGGACACCCCGTGTCCCCAGGGCCTGGTGGGTGTCCTTGGGCACACCCCGTGTCCCCAGGGCCTGGTGGGTGTCCTTGGGGACTCCCCATGTTCCCAGGGCCTGCTGGGTGTCCTTGGGGACTCCCCATGGCCCCAGGGCCTGGTGGGTGTCCCTGGGGACGCTCCTCTCCCCCAGCAGCCCCAGTACAGAACCAGCTGGCACCATTAGGATGCTGCCCCCCCTCGCCAGCCAAGTCTCCCAAGCTTCATCACCAAAACCCCACTGGCATCGACCCCCCCATGATTTCTCCTGTTGAAACAGGGGTGAAAACCCTCCCAGGGAGGGGATGCACCCCAAACTGGCGACAGTGCCAGGGAGCAGCCAGCTCCCCCTGCCCTACCTGCTCTGCCAGCCCAGTACTTTTCCAGCTATGGATGCCATATGCTGTGTCCCCATCCCATCAAATCCCAGCTCCAGCTCGCCTTTGAGCCTGAGCCAACGGCCCCGAGTCCACCTGTCTTGAACTAATTCTGTTTGGGGACGTTGTGTTCTGTGGATTTTCTATAGATCCTGGCCACAATGGCCCCGTGGCTGCTTGTTTGGGGCAGCCCTACCCAAAACAAACCCAGGGGTGCTGCCAGGGCTGGGTTCCCCCAGCCCACAGCACCATCCCTGCCTGCCAGCCCCATCTTTCCCCCCATTCCACTCAAACCCAAAGGAATCTCGTGTTTTCTAGCTGGAAAACAAAGCCCAAAGCGGGAAGGAAGTGCTGTTCACGCCTCACACCAGCAACAGCTCCAAAATCTCCCCCTTTCATCTCCATGTGGCCACTTCAAAGCCCCCAGCCAGGGAAATATTTGCCTCCCTTGGCTTGGCCCGGGCCCGTGGGCGGAGAGAAGAATTTGGTGTTGAATGTTACAGCCCTGCGAGCTCGGGACATGTCCCGGCGTCAGGAGCCACCCAGCCCTGGGAGCACAGCCAGCTGTGCCATGGGAACAGCCTTGGGAGGGTCTCCTTGGGTCAGAGCCATGGAGGTGCTCGGGAGCAGGGTCCTTCCCCTTGCCCCAGAGGCAGACGGTCCTGTCTCAGCTCAGCGTGGCACTGGATGGTGTCACTGTCACACAATTTGCCTTGCTGCCTCCAGGGATGAAAAATCAGGAAAATAATATGGTTTTGCCTTTGGATGGTGGGTTTGACCCAGGGAGAAACAACCCCAAAGTCACAGCACCCTGCAGGGAGCCAGCTGATCCCAGTCCCACCCCATCCAGCCTTTCCTTGTGGGATTCACCTCCAGCCTCATCCCACTCCTCAAGAGGTACCTGCAGAAAAGGCTGAAAATAGAAATTACATTGAGGAACACGACCCCCCCCCCAGCTGTTAATCAGCTCAGGGAGGCACAGAGGGAAGGAAAGCTGGGCAGCATTGCCATGCCAGGTCTCAGCTGGGATGGGGATGCTCCTGCCTGCCCTTCCCAGCCAGGTGCCTGCAGGTGAGCAGTGCTGAGCTGACTCAGGGCTCTGGCTGCTATTCCTGGCTTGCCACTGACTCATTACCTTGGGCAAATCACATCCCTTTCCCATTTTATTTCAGTTAATTCAGTGGGAAAACGCTTCACAGAGCTCCTGAGCCAGTCCAAGCTCAGGCTCAACACAAACATTCCAAGCCCTCCTTCCCTGGGGGTGGAAGGATGCAGCCAGTGCTGGGAAGGAAGAAGGATGCAGCTCCCATGGAGGCTGGCAGGGAGGGAGGGATGTGAGGAGCTGCATCCATCTGGGACCAGCTTTAAGTCCAGCCTACAGGAGATGCATCAGCTTTGTTGTGAC